TCAACTATAATGATATATTTTTACTTGGTATACGAGTCAATGTAAATAGTTGCTATAGAATTAAAACCAGTTCTAGAGAAAAATTTTATTGATATTGTTTGAGTTTTTAAAAATAAGGTACTCATTTATGCATTTTGGAGGCTTCAATAGGCGCTACTTAGATTACCATCAAATTTTTCAAGACATGCTAGTATTTTGATGAAGCTAATGAAAATACGGAGTGAAATATTTAAAAGGTGCTAATTACTTACGAGCAAAAAATAATAATCATACACGAGAAGCTCCACTAATGAAACATAATAAAACAAATCAATACGTAAAATTCCATATACTCGACTATATTATACTGCATCGTATTATTTTGGTCAGTTGGTTCGGTGTTTGTGCAGTTTGGCCGTTATTCTCGCCAGCTGCGCCGTTATTTCTTAAAAAATAAATAATGATAAAAATTTAAAAACGAAAGTCATGGTGACGAGAAAATTATGATCGTATACAATCTTGAAAAATCTTGAAGGCAAAAAATTGAAGAGCATACAAACACTGCAAGAAAAGGACGGTTAACAAAAGCTTATGCCCGAGCCCTAAATGTTTAGATTTTCTGCAGCGAAAACTCGGAATCATAATGTGGGCAATATAAAATCCTCAAGCGAAGTTTTTCCACTATTAGAGCGAATTCTGATCAATGAACTCGAACGAATTTGTGCACGATACAAAACACTCACCATTTTAGTGGGAATTTAACACGTTGACTACGAAGTGGTACATATGCGTACCACGAAATGTGGTACGCATAGTGACATAATCCTCATCATAGTGGTACATAATTTAGGTTGCCTAAAATTGGCCAAATCCGAGAACAAAAAAGGCCAAAAATGCCAATAACTCAAAATATACTAATTTATTTGTAGGTTACGCTATAAAAATTCCATTTATTTTCTTTTTTGCAGTATTTAAAATTTAATTAGGAACTACCCCTATCATAAATTTTAGCAGGCCAACGCAATTAAGAAAAACTAAATCACGGAATTTGTCCGGAAAAATAACCGTCTGACAACCCTGTTTAAAAACAGTACAAAAAATGAAATAATAGTACAAGATGAAGCAATCGCAGTCAACGTGTTAACGAAATTTTGAACTTTATTACAAGATATGGAGCTTCTGGCACACTAGATCGGCACCAGTGTCGAATACTTGATCCTTCAGAATGGTTAGAGCAATGGTAGTACAAATATTGGAACGTTCCGATTGGTTGGAGTAATGACAGGGGCGAATATTTGATAGTTCCGATTGGTTGAAGCAATGACAGTGATCGCTTTAATCATCTGGAGCACTAATTGTGCGAATATTTAATCAGTTCGATGACCTGGACCAAAGTAGGTGCGAATATTTGATCGGTTCGATCGTCTGGAGCACTGATGGATCGAATATTTGATCGAATCAAGCACCGGTTATGATTGCTCCTGATGAGGCAGGCACTGAGAGCACAATATGCACGATTAAAATAACGATAATAATAATAATTTTAAATAAAAACAACATTCAAAAATAAAATATGAATGCAAAATGCATTTGTAGGAATTGTCACAACTAATGAAATATAGATTAAACCAGCAAACGTCCAAAAAATTTATCGATGCACTCAACTTTCATTTTATGGTAGAATTTCATAATTTTAGTAATAATATTCTATTAATCACAAACATTATGCTTATAGAAATTAGTCTAATATCACGCCATGCTCATTTAAATCGAAAGTTGCAGTTCTAATTTAAATAATCATGTTTCTAGAAGGTATACTTAATTTATGCTGTAGAATGTGCTTTTAATTTTCCATTTTCAAACAAGTCTTCTTTTTGTAACATTTTTACGGCCGGTATGTTAATGAGAATATCGTTTTTACTTCAGCATTCGGAAGTTGGCAGGGCTACACATTTTCATATCTGCTGGAATCACGATCTGAATCGCCAAATATTTAGTCTCATGTATCGAGATCATGGTCGGGATTGTTAACTATTATCGGTAATACCTCAGTTACCAATACCATTGAAATTACTACTCGCTCATTTTTCATTCAGTATTCAACATGGTTGATCTAAAGCTCTCAGTGTTTAGCTAAGAAAATATATTGAGGAGCTACATCCCTACGCGGTGCTGATAAAGTCAAATTTAACATTTTTATCACCAATTTTTAAAAAATTTAAGAAATTTAAAAAATTTAAAATGCAAATTCTGACTTTTTATCACAAATAAGAATACACTAAAACATAATGGGATAGTGATTATCAACCATCTTACGAGTTTGATCTAATGAATATTCTGGGTCATAAGTGCAGAGCTTCTGTTTAAATTTATAAATATTGCATAATTTACATCAGGTGGGATCGAAATTGTATATTTAAGAGAGTTAGTAGAGTATGCGTAATAATTTTTAATTATCAATTTAAAGTGAACTATGTTGGAACAGATCAAATGCATAGATTATTAGCACTAGTAGTTGCAGAATGGTTTACAATAAGCGCTTCAGCTATCAAGTTTTTTCGCACTGGATGTAAAAAANGAATCCTACCTACATAATAACTTAATGTAAGGAATCCTACCTACATAATAACTTAATGTAAGGAATCCTACCTACATAATAACTTAACCCTGCAACTGAGACCTGCAGTCAGACACTGCGAGCTCAGCGGTGGGGCGCTCAATAACTCAAATGAATGAGTTATGATGAATGGAATTTCGGGTTTAGGTTAAATGTTAAGCATCAGCCAATATACCTTTCTACCACTTTATCTACAGCAACATCACAGTTGATCATCCAACATCGGGCAGTCTTAGTGTCATTATTTGCAATCAAGAAAATCAATAACAATAACATTAAAGTTATCAAAAGCCAATTTCTATAGCTCTTAAAATTGACAAGAAAATTATTAATTTTAGAAAAATTACTTGAATGCAGGACATTGTAATCAATCAACTAAATCAACAAATTAGTCAACTGAAAAATACCTTATAACTGTTATCATAATAAGAATGAATAATTAAGAGGATGAATGAATGATTTCAAGAGCAAGTGGGCAAATGATATACACAAGAATGAATAACTGGAAGAATGAATGAATTCAAGAGCAAGAGAGCAAATGACACACATATGAATGAATAAGTGGATGAATGAACGAATTCAAGAGCAAGTGGGCAAATGAAAAAAAAAACATAAGAATACATAAGTGGATGAATGAATTTGAGTACGATCAGTGGAGCTAGAGCTAGACATCAGTGATCGCTTCGAGTCCCGCGGGGCCTATACTTTCAAAAAAAGTTAAGAGATCGTAAGTTCATCAGCCAATCATTGACGACCTCTCAAGCAAAAACCACCGATCATAGACAAGAAAATAGAGCGTAAGTACTTATGATCACTTAGAGAGTTTTGGAAGTATGGCCCTCGAACGATCGTTTGAACTTAGAAGGACATCAGACCGTCATACCTGCAAGAATTTGCCCCAAAAAAATACAAACCTCCATAATGAAATGATAATGATAAGCCACATGAACTTGAGTGTTTCAGAAGGCTCTTCTCTACAAAAGTATGATATGAAAAAGCCGATCTACTTCGCACAAATGGAAACAAGATAGGAGAGATATACCTTATTCTATTTTAAGTATTATTTTCATTTCAAAGAGAAAGAGAGATATATTGGGTACTAAATTGCTTCTTGACATCGTAGGGAAAAGTCAAAATTATGGATATTATATAATGTTGATACAATACAGTATTGATATGGTGAAAGTAACTGGCAAGAAAACTACTATATAAGAAGCTCATAGTGTAAAAATTATTCATGCTAAAAACACATAAAAAGTTCCGCAGAAAAAACATCGCAAATACTGCAGTCACTATTGTGCAAAATTAAAGCCCTAACTGCAAACGTCTGCATTAAAAACTTGCAGAAATAGTGAAATGTAAACAGTAACTCCAACTTTATAAATTCTGCAGTCCACACTGCACAAAAACAACAGTCTTCTTGAGATGCACAAATACTGCAGTGAAACGGCGTAGCTGCTACAGCTTGAACTGCTCAAACAAGACAGCCCAAACTGCCAAAATACGGCGGTCATAACTGTTCAAATAGAGCACACAAAACTGCAAAAGTATGGCGGTCATAATGCTCTAATGGAGGAGCCAAAACCGCCGAAGTACAGCGGACATAACTGCTCTAATACAGCAGCTAAAACTGCCAAAACACGGCGGTCATGACTGCTCAAATAAGGCGACCAAAACTGCCCAAATACGGCGGTCATAACTGCTGCAATAAGGCAGCCAAAACTGCCCAAATACGGCGGTCATAACTGCTGCAATATGGCAGCCAAAACTGCCCAAATGCGGCGGTCATAACTGCTCAAATGCGGCTTTCAAATAGAGAACGAAAAACTGCCAAAATATGGCAGTCATAATTGCTCTAATGGAAGAGCCAAAACCGCCGAAGTACAGCGGACATAACTGCTCTAATACAGCAGCTAAAACTTCCAAAACACGGCGGTCATGACTGCTCAAATAAGGGGACCAAAACCGCCGAAGTACAGCGGGCATAACTGCTCTAATACAGCAGCTAAAACGGCCAAAACACGGCGGTCATGACTGCTCAAATAAGGCGACCAAAACTGCCCAAATACGGCGGTCATAACTGCTCAAATACGGCAGCCAAAACTGCCCAAATGCGGCGGTCATAACTGCTCAAATACGGCAGCCAAAACTGCCCAAATACTGCAGTCATTGCTGCAAAAAAATGAAATCCAAACCGCAATACGGATATCATTTTATTCGCGATGAGACTTTCTGGAGCATAGATATTATTTTGTCATATAATACGGAAAGGTTTTCGTGCTAAAAATATGATAAAACTATAACGGTTAATTGTGATAATATATAATAAAATATTTTAACGATAAATAATAAAAATAGTCGTTACTGGCGGTTGTTCTATTGCATGAAAAAATTAAGATATTATGATGAATTGTGACATAAATAAGTTGAGATACCGAATTCATGCATAAATCTCATTCTCTGCAACATTGAAAGGGAAGGAAATCTGCTGAGATTAGCTGTGTGCATCGAATTGTATAACACAATCGTGTAATCCAATGCATTGACCCTATGACAGAGTAAACAAATTAATTAATATTTATATGACTGAGGAATAAATAAATTTGGCCTGATAGGGCCAAGTATTCACCAAGATAATTAAGTTAAAATAAATACTTCAATATACTGTAGTCACTTAAGTGTATTGTAACCGACAGTAAAGGATGTAGTACTTTATTCACTCTCATCTGTAACCGAGAGTAAACTATAATTTACTAAAGACATAGTATTCAAACATTCACGCCCAGGACCTTAACCTATTTTTAGACTATTTTCGATATCGGATATTCAATATAATATAACTTCAAACAAGAACAATAAATTTGCAGATAAATATCTTCAGGAGAGTTCTAAAATCCTCTATATTTATATCCTGTAAAGTCTGCTTCTGCGCGGCACTTTGGGACCAGCGTTATTGAGCGAACTGAACGAATTTATCCTCGCGCCGCGAACAAATCCCGGACCCATGGGGAGGTTATGGGCATTTCTGATCCCGGTTAGTGAACTAGATCGACTCCTAAGCTCCGACCGGAAGCGTTCTCTTAAATCTAAGGTGGACTTTGCTTCCATGGGATAGTGAGAGTCGAGATTAGGATTAAATCTCCGACTCGTGCCTTGCGGTCTCGGTGAAGTAGGTCTATAAGCGCCGAAATGTTGCGGAGAAAAATGTGAGTCAGGTGATGCTTGATCGTGCTCAGATCCGGGCACTTGGATGGTGGGTAATGTAGGTGGGCAGGTGGGTGATGGGAGCTGTGGGGATACGTGGTTGGGGACGGGTAGGGATTGCGCTCCCCGTGTCTGGAACCATACCCTCTGGGAGGGAGGTTTCGGGGAGCTGTTTGGATGTCAAACGATCGTACCGTGCAATTGTATAGACGGCACTGAAGCATCTGAACCTGACTCCTCGGGTGGAGTCACCTGTAGAATTCATATTTTTAACATGATTTTTTAACATGGGCGGAATTGCCAAAATTCATATCTTCAAGATGAATGTTCAACATGGGCGGGGTCGCTAAAATTCATGCTTTCCAGATGAATTTCCAATTTGAGCCGGATTTCCAAAATTCACATTTTCAAGATGGATTTTCAATAAAGCGGGATTGCCAAAATTCATATTCTTAACGATCAAATATCAATAGCATTTGAAAAATATTCAACATATATATTATTGATTTTCTCTCGCTATCCAAAATGTTAAAATCAAATGCTGATATCTTGTTTAAAATTCTAAAGATGCACGAATAAAAATATTGAGCAAAGACATCAACCTAACCAATTAATAACAAACACCCACTCACCTCAAGCCCTATGGATCCATTAGCAGGGATTTTAATAGAACTCCGTCTCTCCCCATTCCCCAACGGTCCTCCCCCACACACCCCGCCGCTGGGGGAGATGCCTAGCTCCTCGAAACTGTTGATACGCCGCGTCGCCTCGAGACCGAACCTCAGGCTATTCGATCTCCGCATGAGAATGTCGTCCACACGTAGGGAGTTGGATCGACCTCGTAGGTATCCTGCAACGAATCATTTACTTTTGGTGTAGAATCATTTAGTATCGTCTCACTCGAGGCATCGCCTCACTAAGGGCATCGCCTAAATTGGCACAACCTCACTTGGGGCATCACCTAAAGTGGCATTATGTCACTTGGGGCATCGCCTCAAGGCATCCCTAACTTAGCATCGCTTGACTTGGTATTGACTCATTTAGCATCATCTCACTCGGCATCGTTATCAGTGTTGTTCACTCACATTAAGAGATTTGGAAAAAGCGATCAATCGTATTATTAAGCCTAAAAATCATTAGTGTCATATAATAATGGCAGAAAGAATTCTCTTCGACTTTATAATTCGTTGACTACCGTTTCCGTATCGTGCCAAGGATCGACACCGAGAGCGATCCGAACGCGGAAGTAAAAATAATATTCATATGTATAAATAAGATAATTATAACCTAAACTGAGTATTTTATGTTTAACGAGTTCAGTTCTGAGTAAAAATTTTCGTAAAAATAGCCTGGCTAGTCTTCCAAACATCTATTCAAAAGACGACCAAACTGAGAGTGGCGAATAGAATTGCTCATATGGAAAAAATCTAATTTTGAAAAGACAATGAATAAGTACAACTGAGGCGAAGTAAGAAGCAACAATTTGATGTAAAATTAATTTAAAAATTCCAACACACAAGCAAGGGATCGATGGTGACAGGATATTACAATCAAAGGTATAAACAGAATCGCGGTCCACCTAGAATGGACTTGCTATTTATATTGGTACTCCGACACACAATAATGGGAATTCAAAGTCAATTTCGAATTATTCTGATGAGGTTAACACGCTATTTCAGCTCGTAAAACGGCGATAAACAGTGATAGATATTGGAACGTTAACAATATTAAAATCGAAAATTTGAATTATGAATTTGAATAAACATAAAAATAAATAGATAAAATATAATAAACGTTCAATTCATAAGCATTGATAAAACACCTCAAAAAGTGTAAATAGCGCAGAATTTAAAGATTTTTGGGGTCAGTAGGAGAAAGTATATATCATGGACACATGGAATTTAAATTCCAATTCCTCCAAAAGAAATTTCAAAAAGCAGTGCAACTTGAAAATCGTAACGTTTGTGCCGATGTACAGCAGGAACGAGCTCTGAAAGGAAATTGAGATTTTAAAAACAATTAGGCCAAAATAAGTTCGCGAATAAAAAAACTCGTTTCCAAACAAACTTTGAGAACATTTTGTGACTATGAACAGTTAAGAGTTGGTTATGCATGCTGAGTTGGCTCAGAATACAGCTTTAAAATATGAATGATGAAAGTAAGCTCGCTCTACCGCCGTCATATCTTATAAAAAGCATTTCTGTGCATAGCGCGTACTGTTCAAGACAGCTGACTAATATACACAATGGAACTATTAAAAGCGTTATCAAAGCTCAATCATTTTATCTCTTAATTATTCTGTGCCTACAAACATTCAAGTTTGAAATTTTGTCGCATTATTTTGGAGGAAATATTAAATGGACATGGATAAGGAGGTATGGTAATCGGAAGAAATTGGGAAATTGTAGCAGACACATTCGAACACAGGGAAACTTCAATAACACTTAGAACAAATTTTTTGCATCCATTTTTTCGAATTCTAAAACAACAAGTTTCCTTTCTGTAACTTGTTTCATTTTTAAGAAGCTAAACCAATCGTCCATGCTGCCATTGGTAAAGAAGTCTTTCAGAGCCTTCGTAAACGGCCAAAAAATAGATAAATTACTTGCTGGTGTATGGGTAAAAATATTTAAAAAATGCCATCATTAAAAGAAGACAAAACATCTAGCAAAAAGAGACACGTCATGATTTTTTCCTATTTTCGCCATGCCCGACAATAATCAGGTAAGCCGTCTCTCAGCACGAGACAAAGTGGACCACAGACGGAAATGATTACGGGCGTTGAGAAGTAAAATATTAGGCCACAGAAAACCATTATCTATTCACTCATTTAATAAGTATTTCCAATAATTAGGACAGGTAATGGCAAATCCACTAAAATATTTTCATTAAATGAAAAAAGCCTGCATGGATGCATGTTCTTAAGCTGAGAGAAAAAGTCAGCTTCCGGCACAACACGAAAAGAGGTCTAGAAATTTGAATGGAAATGTGGGAGATAACATTGAAGCAAGGCTAAATCTGATGAAGGGGAACAAAATTTCATTATTAAAATATGCCTCAGAAAAGGTACTCTAAAAATTCAAGCCAATTATTGCAGTGCAAACGCAGACAGAACATCAGCCGCAGCGATGGCTTTTTGAGGCAAAAAAAACCTATTACGAGGTGAAAAAATATTCATATATGTCGGAAAATCTTTACCATGGAGGCACAACATTTAAAACGGTTTTTTTCTAAGCTATCACTTGGATAATTTTACACACGGGGATGCTTGCTTCCCCAGGAACGCTGGCTGCATGGAACGAAATAAATAGGATAAGTTATCTCCTATAATAGAAATTTTTCTCATATCTTTTTAATAATCTCCAGTAAGCTGACGGCTAAAGGGAAACGCAAAAATTTTATCTATTATATTTTCCTTGCAGGTTTTAAATTTGTTACTGTTACCGCCAAACTGTAAAAAGAGAATTTTCGATTTCGTTCAGAATCCTGTAATCATAAATCCAGTTTAAGCACATGACGATTTCTCGGGCTCAGGCAAAAACATGTTTCAATCATTTATCTCCGAATACTTACTCCTTGTAAAACATTTATCCCTGTTTCAGTGTCTAAAACTCTAGAAACAATATACATAACTTACCAGATCTTAGAAAATTGTAATTAGCGCATCGTGAGGATTTATAATTAAACCAATTCCCCGCAGTTATAAGTGTGATTAAGAAATTAACGTTAGAATTTCTGTCATAATGACGAAGTGTTAAGAAACTTACTCGAATATTTCTATATTTATTATCTAGCTGATTATGAGGCTTCAGAAAGTTTACCAGAGGAAATCAGAGTCTTGATGATGATGTACCAGGAAGCTAACTCGAGTCAATTAATATGTATATTCAGGTAATGAAGAATTATTTAATGCTAACCAGGGGAAATTTGTGGACTGTCGGGTAGACTGAGAGAGGTGCTCTTGGGAGCGGTGTGGAGGGGCGGCGGTCTGCTGAAGGTGGTGCTGCGACGACGAGTTTCGGCCAGGCTGATGTTGCTCTTACGTCGCGAGTTGTGGCGTTCAAATATCCGATTAAACATTAGGTGCCCGAGTGCCGCATTGGAAAAAGAGGCCACGAAAATACAATCTTGAAAGTAGATGTTGCGGATACGCGATTCAGACCGACACGGTCTGGATACGGATACGCTTATATCAGCAGATCCAGGCCGAGATTGCGTCTAGAGAGGGAAATATCAGTTAGACAGTCAGTTCATGCTTCTAATGAACGACATGCAGATTATGAGGCAGATTATGAGCTTCAAATCAATTTCCTGAAAATATGATCGTAAGTAGAATGCGAATCATTTATACAGAGCACCAGGATTAGAGCAGAGAGGCGAGGTTTTGATCCCAGCTCTGTGCGCCAGTTTCTGGTCAGAATCGGCAAGGAGGCCGGGCGGTTAAGCACAGCAAAATTGGAGCAGTGAGTTGCATGTTCGCGACCGCATCAAGCTGTGAATGTTCTGCGATGTTAAGAATCGCGATAGGCCAATGGCCAAATAAACGATGAAAACGCTATATTGCCATTTATATAAACAAGTTTTGGCAGTTAGAGGGCATGTTTCGGCAGCAGAGGATATTTCAACGCAAAAACTAATGTTTTAGACACCGGTTTGTCATTGCGGACGATTTCCGACACCGTTCAAGTTCCGTACCGTACTGAACTTGGTACGGAAAATCCTAGCATTTTTCGATGAACTATCGTATAATAGGATTAATAAATAATGAACTACAAAAATTAATTTTCGACTCACACTATGTCGCCTTCTTCGAGGTTGAGGTCACACGAAGGATTGATGATCACAAACGACAAAGAATTTCTCTTCTCAGAGACGTCGTCATAGGACTCCGGCGGTAGAGCTAGAATAAATATAAATCCAAGTTCATTAAATTAAATAAATAATTTATTGCATTATTGATATAAACCAGAGTAATCTTGCACTGAGAAGCTTGCAGTTAGGTTATTTATGTTGAGTTAGAGAATATAGTGTTTTGGTTGTAAAAAATATAATCAAACAACGGAATGAATTACATAATTTTTTTAAATTGAACTCACCTAAACTGGTCATTCGTGATCTTACGAGCTGAGCGATCTCAGCTCTCTCGATCTGGTTGCTGTGGCCTTCTTTGGGATCATCCGAAATGTTCAAGGAGAACTGAGAACGGAAAAAAATTATATATAGCCATAGAAATAGCTGAATGCTTCTGGTGGTGTCACACGGAATTAATTTGGCATGAATTTTACATATGTACATAAATTCTCGGGGCAACATAAACTTTAATGTAAAATCCATTGAATTTACAAGAATTTTTGACTGAATAAATTTAATTATATTCAACACGAATAAATGTATTTTTTATTTATTTTGGCGATTTTGAAATTGCACACAGTGTCTAATACAATATTTTCAATGATTGCACATGAAGTACATCAACATTGAAGTGTTTCAGTAGTAAATTAGTGTATTTCACTTCAAGTTACATATGCCAATAATAAAGAAAAAGAATAATTTTCCATCAGAAGATGTCAGACTAGAAATGCAATCGCATTATGAATTAATAACCATAATAATTGACAAACAGAATTTGTTATTGAAAATTTTTTGTTATTTAAATTTCGGGAAAGACCTATTTACAGGGAATTGGTAATTATTAAATTTAGAACAAAAAAATAAAATTATAGATAGGCTAATAGAAAAAAGCTAAGATTCCTTTAAATGAATTCATAAAGCCAACACTCATAAACAAAGTTAAGCAGCAAGATCCATGCTTCAGAAATACCGTCAGTTGATATTTAAGCTTCGAAAAATTAAAACTGATGCTCGAAACATGCTACCCATTTTCATTCACAATGAAAAATTTACATATCAATGGAAAAAGAAAGATTGAAAGTTTTTTTAGATCTTCATAAATGTTCAATCTGCATGCCTCCCTTGATGTCTGAAACTTTTTAAATCAGCCACTCCCTGAGCGTTGGATAGGACTCATAGGAAATTAAGATCTGTCTCTACACTTGAGGCCACCGAGATCACCTGGGCCTATACTTTCAGAAAAAGTTAAGAGATCGTTAGTTCATCAGCCAATCATTGACGGCCTTTCGAGCAAAATCCACCAATCATAGACAAGAAAATAGTGCGTAAGTACTTACGTTCACTTAGCAAGTTTTGAAAGTATGGTCCCTGGTCTCACTCCATCTTACTATTTCTTATTGGGTTACGTCAAGGAAGCTGTTAACGTCCCGCATCTACCAGCAGCTATTTCTCTTTCCATTGGTGCATGAATGATTATTTTTGAATTTATACATGAATAAATACGAATTCATTAAATTGCGTCCATCATGTAGTATAACCCTGTATATCTAAAACAAGAGGAGAAAAGACTATCAAATATGGAGTTACATAGATCTCATGAAGATGGAACACGGGCATATTGGAAATCATATCAATCATATGTAGAGAAACACTGTCAAATTAAGTAGTAAAATCATTGAATGAAGAGCAACACTACCAAGTTTGGGTTCAAGTCCAGCAGAATTGAGAAAAAAACACTGTTAAATATGAAGTCAGTTTAAGTAGCGAAAAATAAAACGTTTATGATATAAAATATTTATTTTACGCCTCCAAAGATTTCTGCTTCTCGTAGGGTGTGAGAGTTAGTGTAATAATCAGAAAAATTGTAATAAAAGGGTATTATTCATACTTAAAAATTGCTCATACGAGTTCTTGATCCGAAATTTCCCATGCAACGAAGATGATAACGACGATCAAGTGGTTTTAACGAGGTCGGATAATCATGATATAAATAAAACGTTTAAAATTAAATTATTTGTGTAAAGACATTCAGTAAATGAATAAGGGGATGTCGTTGTCCGGTGATTGTTGTTGGTGGAAATTTAAAAGGCTTGTAGCATAAAGCAGGCGACAAAAGAAAATGAAAAATTTTTAGGATATATAAGGTTATTGCAGGCGACAAAAGAAAATGAAACATTTTTTAGGATATATAAGGTTATTTTTACGATAAAATATACATAGAATAAATTATTATGCGGAGATTGTTAAGCAAATAATATATACTAGGGAAAAATTGAGGAAATTTTATAATTAATCTATTCAAGGATTGATGTGGTGGACTGAGGAACGGTATTGTGCACTAATAATTTATTCTTCGAATCAACATAATTTATATTCATGTATTGACACGGAACGAGAGTATTTATACACATCAAGACTCAATAATCATGTATCTTGTAATTTAGATATTTTAACGAATGTACATGCATGCAGTTCGGCATCTGTTGCAGAAGTGAAGATAAAACTCTACGAATGGGCCGTTCTATCAAAAAATAGTAACGAGTTTGTAACTACGCCAGCCAATCACTGACGATATTCTATAGTGGAACCAATCAATAAATGTTAAGAAATCTGCCTCTACGTGTACTTCGCCCACTGAGTGTACTTAAGCTAATTTTGATAGTACGGCCCCAAGATTTGTATGGAGAAATTTGCTAGTTTTAGGCAAGGAATACGGTGTATTTTAAACATTCTTTTCGTGATAAAAAATTACGGTGCCACGGACGCCGGATCCGCAAAAAATTCAAGTCCGTGTGTGACTCTAGAAAAAAGTCCGTGTGTGACTCTAGAAAAAAGTCCGTGTGTGACTCTAGAAAAAAGTCCGTGTGTGACTCTAGAAAAAAGTCCGTGTGTAACTCTAGAAAAAAGTCCGTGTGCGGCTCCAAATCAGCGTAGAGGGCAACGTGTTACCAACATTCATTGTGAAATTATCTGAAGCCGCTACATTTTCTCTTCAATAAAGCATTAGTTTAAATCTTTAAAGATGAGTGGATTATTAATCCACTCATAATAAGATAATAATAAAATTTGCAGATTTTCTTAGTGGTCGGTGATTTCAACATTGGTTAATTTCCATCCTTTTCATCCAGAAGTAGATGGATGAATACAATGTAAATGTTGCACGATTAAAACCATTCAATTGATATCCGAAGCAGATTAAGACAGATTAATGGTATTTGTATTCTAGTAAGAATATACGTGATATTAGTAATCTAATAATTGATATTCATATATACTTGACATTAGAAAACACATAATAATATACTTGATAGCTTGGATATTATGTGTTCTATACTGTAACATCATAAATAAAAATGACAGAGAAGTAAGTGGCTTCCGACAACTTTAACACATGAGGTGCTTGAGGCACGTACATGAAAGAAATGATAGAAAAAGCAAGTATTTTCCAGGATTATTTTTTTGTTGGGTCTCCCAAATTCGTGGAAACGAGGTCAAGGAGTCGCTACAAACGGGATTAGGCATCCAGAAAAATAGATGGGTAATTTTCTCCAAATCAACGACACTTTCTTACTCACAGTACGTATTTTTGCCGAGCAAAACTGGGTCAGAGTGACCCGAATAGGGCAACAAGTGCATCGTTCTTTGGACAAAATCCCACTCATTTCCCTGAGGATGACGTTAAACTTGCAGGCGACCTAATCAAAAGCCATGTAGGGAGGCAGCTAGGAGTTAGGGAGCAAATAGTGTTAGGATGCAAGTAAGTTTCAAAAAATGTAAGCAATTGGAGGCAGGGATTAGGAGGGAAATAGTATTTAGGTGAAAATTAAATTCTCCTGAAAATAAAATTTTAATGACTTGAATCCTCTCTCCATACTTGCTTCGTCTATAAAAGTTTGCCGGCATGTCATTCCCGAGGTTCTATGTTGGGGCTTCATTTGTAGGATCAGAAGAATTCAAATAATTTCTGTCAATAGTAGCATTCTTCGTTTAATTTGTAGAATTTCTTTGTGGCATTCTTTGCAGAATGCTACATATTTTTTTCCGATAATGAGTAAAAGAATTAGGATTAATAAAGATACGGTACCAATAACTCGACATAAATGTTGCCACGAACGGAGAAGCCAAGTGACACGATCAGTTCTAATTTATCCTGTCATAAAAAAGTTACTGAAACAATTTTTAACATGGAGTTAGCACATGAGAAATGGATTGGAAATACTTTGAACTTCAAACGAACTATTTTTTTATTTTTAGAAGGTATGGAAAAATAAAATCATTTTCCCTTCACACCAGAAAACAATGGCTGAACTAATTCCTTTTTTTATGACGGATTGACGGTAGACCAACGAGTTCCAACCACGATGTAAAATATTTCCAATTCACATGCATCTAATTCACTGACAAATCTAAAGATTCCACATCATCCCCAATGATTTAAGATTAAAGATTCATCTCCAACGAAATTAATACACTTTACGAAATTGTGAAATAACCGAATCTTTAAGAAACGTCAACATAGAATCTCGTGATGTAAAGATGCACATGAATTTACTGGTCATTATACCTTTTATCTAATAAACGGTTAATAAACGGATAAAGTTCAAAACGTTAAATAACGGTTAACGTTAATGAAGTTAAATCAACGGTTAACGTTAATGAAGCTAAATCAACTGTTAACGTTCATAACGTTAAATCAACGGTTAACGTTTAAAACGTTAAATCAACTGTTAACGTTCATAACGTTAAATCAACGGTTAACGTTTAAAACGTTAAATCAACGGTTAACGTTCAAAACGTTAAATCAACGGTTAACGTTTAAAACGTTAAATAAACTGTTAACGTTCATAACGTTAAATCAACGGTTAACGTTTAAAACGTTAAATCAACGGTTACCGTTCAAAACGTTAAATCAACGGTTAACGGTCCATCACAGTGATTACCTCGGGGTTGAGACTCGAGAAAGGGAAATTGGAAAAGGTTTCGGCTGATTTCCACAATGCTGGGAACACAGAAGCAAGCTGCAAATAAACATGAGATCATCTTGAAATGAAAATATTTCCATTAGGAGATGAGCGACTGAAAAGTTAATAAAAAAATTACAGAGGAAAATAAACGATTCTAATCACAATGGAATATTTGTTATTGGAAATAAGAAAAAAATTATATTAGTATGCAACATCTAATCGTAGAGTAGTGCTAAATAATTGTTTTTTAGGTAAAGAAATAGAAATTAATTTTTGTAGAAGAATATTAGCTACAAATAATTCGACCAATAATGTTGTTTCACTAGTCCATTTAATGTTCTTTTGAAATAATTTGCCATGTTAAGTCCTAATGGCACCTTAAACCAGGTATNCAATAAAACAACAATGCACCTGTTAGTTTCATTGAGAAATAACAAAAAACATGCGTTGCCATAAATATGGCGGACCCTGTATGTAGCTTTGCTATAATGGCTAAGTCTGCCGACCCTCTAGGCTAATTTGATTTTTAAAAAATTAACTGTGGAGCAATTCTGGCCATGGAGAGAAGAGTCTTACAATAGATTCAGGCACAAGTATTCCAATGTAAATAAATATAATGAAAAGAATCCCGATGAAAAGTTTCAAAACGGCTTTAAATTGTAAATTTTTAAAAGCCATGCAAATGAGCCCCCTAATTTTTTTTAAGGATGATATTGGCAGAATTTTAACTGATTGTAGACTCGTACTAATGCTATGAGTTATCAAATGATTAACTTTAAATTACACTTGGTCGAACTAAACAACACTGAGCGCCTGCGATTATATTCAAGGTTGAAAATAAAATTTAAGTAATAATAAAGATAGGCAAAGTTTTACTAAATATGTTCAGCAATGTCACATGTATACACAATTTACAATCTTACATCAGAACATTCATCTGGAGACTGAAGAAACAAATTAATTTTATTACAATGAGACGAAAAATATGAGCGAAATACCAATAAGAACTACGCTGTGACCAATAATTCCGCTATGTTCAAACCTCTTGTTTAATTCAGAAAAAATTTCAAGTTTGTTAAATGATCAGTAAAAATTGACTATATTTTCTATCAGGACACAGTAGATTTTTTATTACACGATATAGGTATTTTAAACGCTGAAAAGATATTAGTTATTCTCATAAAAATGAACTGAAATACACCAATACACGAACTTATTTGTGCATTTTGTTTAGCTATGTGAAAATAAGATAACTTCTCGAATAATGCTTTGAAACACATTAAAACACGAAGTCATTTTCGAGAGACAAATCTTTATTTTCATCCCATCATTAAAATTGATTTTAAAGTAAAAGTTGATTTTTTGTGGGGCAAAAAAACAATTGGCCGACAAAAAAATATTTGGGCTGCAAAAATAAATTTGGAAACGGCAGAACATATTTTAGGCAGCAAAAAATATTTTAGGCGGAAAAAAATATTTGAGGCAACAAAAAGTTTGTGCGGCAAAATGTTAAGCGGGAAAAAATTTTGAGCGGCAAAAAATTTTAAGCGGCAAAAAAATTTTGCGGCGGCCAAAAATATTTGGGCTGCAAAAAGTATTTGGGTGGCAGACAATATTTGGGGCGGCAAAAATTTTTTGGGTGGCAAAAAATTTTTGGGAGGGCACTCGAATGCCTCCAATCATGTTGCCAGTAATGAGTGTTAAATCGTTAACTTGCAACGTGGCAATCACTAGACGCGCTACTAACATTTATACTCACAACACACAACACAAATATGTATTCTTCAGATAAATAGAAGCCAATCGCTACACATAATGTCAACGACAAAACAAAATTATTGCAAGAAATTTAGCTCCACAAAAACTTTCAAAGATGCAGAAAAATATTTTCAAATTAAACCATCTTGCAGAAAATCAACAAACAACAAAATTTTGACACCGAACATGTTTCATTCTGCTTTTAATGGTACGCTTTACGTGTGCTTCACAATACTCAACACCGAACACATTTCATTCTCTTTAAACAATAAGATTCAAAATGAGACACGAAAAATTAAAAAAAATTCACAGAGGTATTAGAACAGTACCGAATACTTACGTTATTACTTGGCTCGAGATTTGAAGTATCTATAGTTCTGAAAATACCCATAGGAATCTCACACGTTGTCGAGCACAGCTTCTGGTATAGACGACCGTACGTTCTGATCCATTTATCCTGTTTCGTGATTTTCATCTGACCATAAAAAATAATTGATGGAATCAAATAATGGCATAAGAAACAATGAATTAACGTATTTATTTAATGACAGGTATATAGATTTGGAACGTGTGTTTAATTACTTAGAAAGTAGACTTCAGGGTATTACCTTCAGAATATTTGCGGCATTTGGCACCTTTGAGAAGATTTTGTACATATAAATTTTTTACTAACAATGAAAGAATCAGTACAAAAATATTCTTCTCAGTTTCCACGATATGGAATTTTAGTTATACAGGTAATAAAAACTTCGAAAAACTACAGATCACAACTTGGAGAGGCTAGAGTGTCATGGCAATTAGCTGCTTTTCAAAGGATATATTCATGGATACTTCAAGATATCAACTCGCTCAATATCCCATCATTAAATTTATAAATTTTAAATTATAATTAAATAATTCATAAATGCGCTACAGTTTTATTGAAAATTCAATTACTTAATACCAACACTATGTCATTGAAGTTACATATTTATACTTTCAGATTCTCTAAATGTGGACTTACGGAAGTAAGGAAACCGGAACTAAGTCATTGAAGTTACATATTTATACTCTCAATTTCACTTAAAAAGGACTTACGGAAGTAAGGAAACCGGAGCCAGGAGCTTGGTCGATGCCGAGCAGTAACCTGACGAAGGTGATGAGGTAGTCTTTAACGAAGGCCTGGTACAGGAGAGTGTCCAACATGCTGGCCGAGAACACCGACCCCGCAGCGAACGGCAGCCGGAACATGTATGAGATGTGCGAGCCTCGCTCCTTCTCCCGCTGCAATTATGAATATCATATATTAATGAATCGTGATATTTTTTATGAAGTTCTCAGTCACCTAGAGTGTACTCAGAGTCTCTTTTTAAGTTCTCAGTCACCTAGAGTGTACTCAGAGTCTTTTATTAAGTTCTCAGTCACCTAGAGTGTACTCAGAGTCTTTTCTTAAGTTCTCAGTCAGCTAGAGTGTACTCAGAGTCTTTTTTTAAGTTCTCAGTCACCTAGAGTGTACCAGAGTCTTTTATTAGGTTCTCAGTCACCTAGAGTGTAATCAGAGTCTTTTATAAAGTTCTCAGTCACCTAGAGTGTACCCAGAGTCTTCTATTAAGTTCTCAGTCACCTAGAGTGTACCTAGAGTTTTTTTTTAAGTTCTCAGTCACCTAGAGTGTACTCAGAGTCTTTTTTTAAGTTCTCAGTCACCTAGAGTGTACTCAGAGTCTCTTTTTAAGTTCTTAGTCACCTAGAGTGTACTCAGAGTCTTTTATTAGGTTCTCACTCACCTAGAGTGTACTCAGAGTCTTTTATTAGGTTCTCAGTCACCTAGAGTGTAATCAGAGTCTTTTATAAAGTCCTCAGTCACCTAATTTGTACTCAGAGAAATAGGCGAGGCTTTTGTCCAAATAGTAATGATCTTTTTGCCAGTTATGGGTCATCCTGACCTAGCTTGGCCCGAATAAAGAGCGTCTCAGTGCTACGTCCGCTCTCGGCTCGTGATGTGCGAGAGATATTTTGTCACTAGTTAGACAATATAACTGATCGTATTTTTCAGAGTGTAGTCTAATACCAGGAAAATGTTTTGTACATGAAATAAAATTGCTTTTGAGCAACCCTGAGAGTTAAAACCACATTTTTTATGATTACCTTGAATATTTTCGGATAAAATTTTTAAGATTGCAATTTGGAAAAAAAATCCTCTCAAATTCTATCAAACTGTAAGGTATACAAAAGTCAAACCTGTTAATTTGCATTAAAATTATTTACTGCACATTGAACTTTGATAAAAAATTGTGTGAAGCCCAAATGAGGAAGAGAGCTGTTCCCATTTACCTGGACTACGCAGAGTTTGTAGATAATTCCCTTCATTTGTAAAACAATAACCCTTTGTGCGCATAAGTCATCAAGTTATTATCATTAAAAGTTATTTATGTTTATAGTTATAAGTTATTTATATTGATAGTTTGCAGTGAATAATTAGCATGATGTTTTTAGTAATTGCTGTGAATGGGAGATTAACCTGCGTACGTTACAAAAAGTTCTGTTTAGTTATAGAAAAAGATTTATTTTAGTGATTTCTTTAACTGGAACATTCGTATGACATCCTATAGTATTGGTCATCATGGTGCAGATAGTGAAATATTTTACCAAACAAGCAATACAATAATGTGTAAAATTTTTAGAAAACTAAATCTTCATCTATAAAATATTTCACACCAATTTATATTAAGTTTAATAGTTGAAAAAATAGCTTGAAAAAAACGTGCAAATTAAATGGATAGGGCCGCTCTCGAAAAGCTTATGCAAGACGGGAGGTGTTTAAAAAGTATATCAAATGAAGCTAGGAAGCACAATTTTTAAATGTACGGCAAACAGCTCCCTCAGGGAATGCAGGGAAGATTCCCCAACAAAATTCAGGNATCAAGAAATTTCGCTTCAACAAGTGAAATCGGAAGAATGAAATATATCTGTAGCAAATACTTCAAAGCAGTTCCCAGAATAGCGTAACACCTCAATGAAACCGAGAGGGAAATAGTGCAGCAACATATTTATATGAATTTAAAAGCATGTTGCACAAGTTGAAAAAACAATGCATAATAAGAAAAGATGAAATGAATCATGAAAGCCCGAACGCCATTCTTGAACCAGTTTCGCAAAGCCAGGAAGCTGAAAAACAAGATGTCGTTATCCCCTCCAACTGCGAAATTATCAAAGCAAGTCATCGTTATCGTTATATAACAAGTTATCGTTATCGTTATCAAACAAGTTATCGTTACCCTCTCCAACTGTGAAATTTTCAAAATAAGTTATCGTTATCGTTGCAAAACCAGTTATCGTTACCCTCTCCAACTGTGAAATTGTTAAAACAAGTTACCGTTTTCGTTATAAAACAAGTTATCGTTACCCTCTCCAACTGCGTTATTATAAAACAAGTTACCGTTTTCGTTATAAAACAAGTTATCGTTACCCTCTCCAACAGCGTTATTATAAAACAAGTTATCGTTTTCGTTATAAAACAAGTTATCGTTACCCTCTCCAACTGCGAAATGACTTCCGAGTAGTAAACTGGCTTGCGAACGGTATTTTTGCGGTGGAAACTTGAACGATAGAGACTCTTTTTGCGTGTGCGTGTTGTGCCATTGACGCCGTAAACACGAATTTGTCTTCTGTTCACTCTTTCAGCATCGACACTTTCAGATTTTTCCTGTAGTTCAGAAAAAACAAAAATATCCATACAAATACAGAGAATAAAAAATGTATAATGATTGAGTCAGAAATATATAAAAAATAATCTACAGTTGGCATCAAACTGAAAAATGATCAGAAATAAGATGGTGAAAGAAACTATCAAAGGAAAATAGCTGTTCAATGATTAAAAAACTGATTAATAATTAGGTTCTTCCTGGACATAAGTTAGAATTTTATCAACTAAATAATCAATTTAAATATTAATAATAAAATCACAACAAATATTTAAATTAAAAGTAACAGCTCCTCACATTACCAATTAATATCCGCACATTTACAAAATTATACAAAATTAAAAAAGAAAAACAAAAGTAAGTCTCATTGCACCTGAAGAATTTTCATTTTCAAAATACGAAATAAAAACAAGGATTTTCGGACTTAAATAACGTCAGAAGAGACAGAACTTTGTGCGAATTTCAGAATAGCATTTTGAATGCTGCATTAATGTGTTAAAAAAGTTACATTAGAAATTAATATGCAGAAATTAATTAAGGTTTTGCTTCTAATATAATTTTCACTGAAAGAAACCCCAAAAAATGATTAAAAAGTTTTTCACTGCCAGTCAATGCCATTAAAATGAGTCAAATTGAAATGGGTTCATTTCGTATCGATCGAGTTCAGGTACAAATTTTTTTCGTACGACTGGAATAACCAATATTTATTATAACCAATGTATGTTCAATAACCAATATTTATTATAACCAATGTATGTTTAATAGCCAATATTTATTTTAATATCGGGGTTTTGCCTAGTAAGAATTCAATGCATTGATTTGCGAAGCTTATGTTCCACTACATTTTTTAAAGTCCACTTTGGTTAAATGAAAATGTTTTTTTCTTTGAAAACCAATCAGATGAAGGTTGACGAGAGGTTTTAATTATCTCTCCAGCCCCGAGAAGTAATCACATGTATGACCATAAAGTAATCTAGGAGTTTCAAAAGATTTTAATTTAAATTAATGAGAAAAAAGAAACGTTATAGGAAATGAACGATATTAATTTGAGGCGAAAACCTATTAATTTAAAGAAGTCAAAGTTTTGCAGTATATTAATAAAAAGTCAAGCTATTAACTACCATGACGAGTACAAGAAATGATATGGATTTCATATTGAAATTTCCTAACTTTAAAATCTAAAAAATTTAAAATAAAGATACAGTAAACGCATTTAAATCTCAGTACGCGGTCAAGCAAAAAAGAAATGAATAGATAAATTTTTAATATTATATAATGATATATATGGATATAAAATATACAAAATAATTAAATGTTCACATGATATGTTTCAAAAATTTAAAACTGTTGTTTTACATCTCAATAGCATGAAAGGTGAAGTTAAAATGTCTTCAGTTATGAAGGGGACTACTTTACATCATATAATTATTGTATTCATTTTATTGGATGAACTAAATAGGAATAGTGTAGTAATAGTAAGAAAATAATACGTATAGCGGTCAATATTTTACTAATATTTTCCTCCTGCTATCTTTTCTATTAACGAAGATATATTGATGAATGACTAGACCGTTGATTTTCCATCAAGTCTCGGTAAACCGTATGCTTTTGTTGAGGCCATAACAAGTGTGCATGATAATGTGGGGGAAAAATGAAGAAATATTTTTGTGATAATGATATTTGAACACTTTCATAAATTTAGATAATAGGTGCGTTTTCAGGTGAACGTATCTGAGAATTGCTTTCATTGAATTGCTAGATAATTTCAAAGATTTATTGGACAAACATGATAGTTTTGAAAGAGATGCGACACACAGAAAGCAGTGCGCGTCAATGTGACAGTAACAGCCTCTAACCTGCGCGTCTTCAAGAGCAGCGATGGCGCTGTCACGACGCAAGCATTCCAGTCTAGTCTGCGCACAGTATAATTTCGTCAGGCTTAATTAACTCGCTTCAACTAAATTGTAGAGAAATTCATGAATATAGTTACCAATTCAATCGTAGAGAAATTCATGAAAATAGTTAAAAAATTTCGTCAGGCTTAATTAACTCGCTTCAATGTAATCGTAGAGAAATTCATTAATATGGTTACATACTTTTTCAGGTTTAATTAACTCGTTTCAATTTAATTGTAGAGAAATTCATGAATATAGTTTAATAATTTCGTCAGGCATTATTAACTCGCTTCAAATTAATCGTAGAGAAATTCATGAATACAGTTACAAAATCTTGTCAGGTTTAATTAACTCGCTTCAATTTAATCGTAGAGAAATTCATGAATATAGTTACGAAATTTTATCAGGTTTAATTAATTCGCTTCAATTTAATCGCAGAGAAATTCATGAATATTGTTACAAAATTGCAAAATTTCAATTAACCAGTCCATGGTATTAGGACGAGGAATTTTTAATCAATTTTTTTGACAATTACATTTTAGTAAGATGGGGAAACTTTGAAAATAAAGCTTCTATAAAAAGCAGCGTATAAACAAAACTTCATGATATTTATTATCCATAATTAGATGGTAAATAATTATTATAGTTTATGTTGTTTTAAATGCTTGCACGCATAATGACGACGGATAACTTTAATTTAATAATCTTTGACTTAGATTTATTCAAATTGAGAATAAATGAATATAAGTAGTCTAGTACGAATTTTTGCTGTATAAATAAATTGAGCTATTAAAAGATTACCAATTAGCCAAGTTTGAGTGCCATATACTATTGATTTGAGGTTTGAGCAAAACATGCAAGTTAAAGTCATGTGTGTGTAGTAAAAATTTTTAGCGATTTATTTCGCTGTAAAAATGTGATTGTGATGCAATATAAAATATAGTAGCGGGATTCTGTGATTGATTAATGCTTATGAATCATCACGAGGTAAATATGTATGATAATAAATAAAACTAATTCTCTGGTCTTTAACAAAACTTGTTTAAGAGAAGAAATTCTGCCAGCCTATACTGATAATAAATAAGTGTACGTGAAATAAATAACTACGTTGAAGAGAAGTTATAAATTAAAGGATATGTAAATATTTAAACAAACGAGAAATTGAAATTATTGAAAAAACTCGGGAATCACGATGATACTTTTGTATGATATTTTTTCAAAGCATTTAAAATTTTCTTGACAGATTCACAAGATTCTCTGATCTCGCTGATGCTTCAAACGCTGAGATAACTGATGCCTGACAAAGGACTATATTTCAACATAATTAGACTATGTTTGTTGACATAGTCTAATTTCCGACTGTCGATGAATATGAGTAACAATACGATGTTAAATTAAGCACGATTACTTGAGGGAAATTGTCTTGCCATCTAACTTAAAAGGAAAAATATTTGTTATAATCATTTTCAAAATAGTCGAAATATTCTGGTCAATGCGAGACTGTTTTTCCTGACAAAAGAGGGAAATGTATCAGGCCGTTTCCTTGAAATACGGAATACGGAAAACTTTTACACATTTATTTTACAAAAAAATTCCGCTCAATAGTAGACTACAACACTACATTAAAAAGAAAATGTAGAGAAAATATAGCGGAAAGATTAAATGTATGTAGAAAATCTACCAATCTTCACATTGAAAACTCAAATGTACACAAATGTTTCCACCAGTAACGGCGACATGTAAGATACAAAGCCAAGAAACTTTCTTTTTCAACATAAACAGTTTTTTATCAAGAATTTCCTGTTAAATATCAAGATTACTTTATTTTAATCGAAAATGATGGAATTCACTGAAAAATGGTAATTTAACTAAATTCTTCAAATTTAGAATGGGTACTATGTGAATTTTCTTTCTAAATAACCATTTATGCACATATGTTGAATTCTAATATACCATCTTTTTGCAATTGGAATGAGATGAAGATGCGACGAACAAGGGAAATGAGATGGATGAGATACGTATGATATGAAAAATAGAACATTAGGCACATTCCATGGCGTAAAAAGACATGACGGTACCAAACGAGCTCTGATGGAAAGAAACAACGATAAAAATTATTTGGCAATGTAGAATGAATATCTTTTGACTTCTGTTTAAAATTGTTTGTCATAGGCGCGCGATTGGATTAGTAAAAAAGTTTTTTTTGTTAAGTTGTTTTGTGATTTTTCTATTTATTATACTGTTATCATATCGGTAATCGCTCTAATTTCGTCAGATTGGTCCGAAGTGGTTTTTTTCAGCACGTGACTAGGTTCTCGTATGAATAGGTTGCGGAAAAAAATATTACATATACATATGATGAATTAATTTATTCATTCCTATTAAGTTCCATCGTTTTTAGAGCATATATGTTTTGATGTCTATAACAGAGATGTCAGCATCCATACGTTATTATTTTTTTGGTACAAATGTTTGAAATTCCTAACAACGAAGTCGCGGCCCATATATTGTTGATATATAAAAATATATATATTTTTATATATATAAAAACTACAAAAATATAATAAACTAAATGTTAAAATATAATAAATACAGAAATGTTACACGACTTTCCAGATAGTTCATTCTGCCTCTCATCCCGGGGTTCATTAGTATTGATTTCTGGTTCCTCCTCAATGTAGTAATCGTCTGCCAGGTTAAACATGTAAATTTTTATTAGGAATAAATATTATTTTAATTAAAATAAATAACATTTACAACATCTGACGGACGCAGCAACTGCAGTTCGGTGGCCTTTTTTCATTCAAATGTAAAATATTTAAATAACTTATCATAAAAAATCATATGAATTCGCATTCCAACTATAAATATGAGGTTCTTCTAAGAAACAGAAATAGAAACATCGTATAGATGAAAAAAGTAAAAGACTAGTAGTCATAATAAAGACAATAAAAATGCATTGCTAGTTCATAATATTCAGAATAATTATTTATTCTGAATAATAATTCAGAATAAATAATATTCACTGATAAAAATCTAATTAAGCATGATAAGTCTTTAAAACTCAAATCTTATTATCTTAACGAAGTATTACAAAACATAATTTTGCAATGAAAATCTTGATAAAGTTCAGTTGAAAAAGTTGAGTTTTAAACAGTTGAGTTTAAAAAAAATTAAGTTTGAAAAAGTTGAGATTGAACAATTTGAGTTTGATAAAGTTGAGTTTGAAAAATTTGAGTTTGTTAAAGTTGAGTTTGAAAAATTTGAGTTAAATAAAGTTGAGTTTGATAAAGTTGAGTTTGAAAAAATTGAGTTAGATAAAGTTGAGTTTGATAAAAACGAGTTGGAAAAAGTTGAGTTTGATAAAGTTAAGTATGATAAAGTTGAGTAGAAGAAGTTGAGTGGAGTATTTTCCGAAGCTTTCACACGTTTTGTGATATTGCAGGGAAAATTAAAAAATATATATTCTTACCTGCTGACATATTGAATTTTTTTTAAACATTCGTTTTTATTTTTGGTACGTTTTGTAATGCATCACGACAATTTTATAATTATGTAGAGAGGAGGCAAAGAAATCTGTTTTCACAATCCAGATTCGTGGTAGCTAATTTCTCTTGTGCGACCAATATGGAAAAAATTCAATTTGGTTCGAGTCAAACAAATATGAAAACAAGAGCTTCAATTTTTTTTTATTTGCCAAACGAATTATTTTACGCGTAATAAATTTGCTAGTGTATTTCCGATCCCTAATTATATAGGATAGTTTCTGTCTCTTATACACATCTAGATGTGTATAAGAGACAGACTGTATTCAAAGAAATTCAAGATCATCTTGCAATTGCGCTTTAGTTGACGCATCCTTNTCAGTTCTTTATTTTTGAACAAACATGGAAAATGAACATATGAAAAATATAGATTTATGAATTATCAATCGACAATTAGTTTCCTTGTCAATTAGGATTACATTTTACGACCGGGTGATTTAAATCCGGATGAATAAATTCAAATTTTCGACACACACTCTAAACTTTACAAGGAAAATCTCAAATGAAAAACGCGAACAACATTAAAAAATTAAATAAAATTAAAGAAAAAAATAAATAAACTTAAAGTTAAGTACCACCTTTCAGCTATTCTGTTTAAATTAATACATGACAATTATTAGCTAGATTCATAATTGACAGGGAAGAAATGAAGATAAAAAGCCCACTTGAACATAGTCTGCACGGCAACAATAGTGTTGCAGTCAGATAGTGTGTCCTCCTCAGCAGAGTTGTTGAGTTCCTTGTTGACAACGACCACATTCTCGGCCAGGTTGATACCCGCTTGTAGGAGGTGGTCCAAACTGCGCAAATCAACGAAATCATCATACTTGATGAAATGAATTACGATGAATTACCAACAGTTTAGTATTTAGGGTGCAGTGAACTGCCATCAGTATACTTCTCAGGCTGTCTTAGCCTTTTTTATAAGGAATTATGATGAATTACCATCTGCACACTTTTCATTATCCTTGTATAATGAATTACTACGAATTACCATCAGTATATTATTCAGTCCAAGATTATCCTTATTATAGTGAATTACCATGAGTATAGCTTTCAGACTATCATCATAAATAAGAAATTACCGTGAATTAGCCTGAGTCTAGATTTTCTGTCAAGTTCCAAGGTCTGTTTTTTTTTTCATGGACATTGTCATCAACATCTTCATCAGTTTCATCAAGATTTCATCAGGTATCAACATGTTTTATCAGCTGTTTCATCAATATAGTCAACCTCAGAATCCCTATCATGAATGGAAATGGTTTCAGTGATCGTCGTTTTAGAAATGTAGTTCGAACGGAAAAGATAGATTGCTCTAAAAGGTAACATTGAAATAAATACTATTGATTAAATTGAAGCCAACCAAAAATATTGTACCATCAGAAGTAAAATTCCTCATCAACAAGCATCAGTTATTAGAGCCATGCTATACAAGAAACTCTGCGATGATTTAATGAAAAGACGAAATGAGATATAGAATAAAAAATATAACTCAGTACTCACTGCAGTGAGTGACAGAGAGCGCATTTTCTCGTCGACGAAAACTTGAGGTCACGGACGGACGGACGGACAGACAGACGGACGGACGGACGGACGGACAGACGAACATGGCGAGCACAATAGTGCAATTTTTCCACAAATGAGAAAATGCGCTAAGAAGTATAGAACATAATATAGAACAAAAACGTAGCCATAAAATCGTACCAGCTGATGGATCCGAACATCCAGTAGATGAGTGGGAACCAGGAAATGGCATCCTGGAAAGCTGGATCGGGGCGACTTTCCAGCAGCAGGATTATTGGATTTAGTGAAGACTTGGATCTGTGGTAAAATTTAAAGCAATTTTTAACAATGTAATGAAGGTTGTACACTCAGAAAAATGTCCCATTGTCCGAATAGTGCCGCAATTTTCTACACGTAACCTGATGCGTCGATTTGCTGGGCAAAACAGGTTCAGGATGACCCGCAAGAAGGCAAAAAGTGTAGCTCTATTTGTACCAAGTCTCACTAATTACTTTGAGTGATAGCTATGAAAACGACCATGGGTCGTTTACCCATAGCAACGACCTTACCTATTAATCGGTTCGCATCATGCATGTAGTGAAATAAAAATCTTGTGTTCGAACATTTGACGTTGGACGAGATAAAATCTCACCTTCGTATCATATATGTATGTATGTAGTCCAATAGTGAAATAAATATATTGTGTTCGAACATACGTTAGACAATATAACATCTCACCTTCGTATCATATATGAAGTGAGATAGTGAAATAAATATAATGTGTTCGATCATTTAACTTTAGTGTATATAATATCTCACCATCGTATATGTATATATGTACTGAAATAAATATATTGTTTTTGAGCATTTAACTCTAGAGAATAAAGTATCTCACCTTCATATCATATAAGTAGTGAAATAAATATCTTGTGTTCAACATTCAATTTTAGATGGTATAATATTTCATCTTCGTATAATATATGTAGTGAAATAAATATCTTGTGTTCGAACATTCAACTTAAGATGACATAATATCTCACCTGAAGTGCGCTCTCAACGGAATAATGAAGTTATATATTCCGTTACTGGCGTAATCAGCAGCCAAGATGACAGCTCTGTTCTGCCAGTTGTACTCTTTAGCTGATCTGTAGGAGCAATGCTCACACACCTAGACAAAAGGGAGACAAAACGTAGAAAACTGGCAACAAATTGATCAATTATTAGATAATACAAAGTTAAAATCTTTTTCTTTATTACAAGAAAAGAATTTTGATGTAAACTTCACCGTCAGGAAGAGATATGTAGTTGAGAAGCACAAATAAATGTGACAATTACTGCATTACATCGAGCTAGAGTTTTCCAATGTATTGCAAGAAATCGCATCAAATAGGTATTGCAATTGATCGTTTAGAAAAATATCAATAAACTGATCCCTTACCGCAATATTATTGATCTCTTACCGATAATAAACTGATCCCTTACCGATCCCTTACGTTAAGTTTTTTTTTCATTGCAAGTAATCGCTTCACATCGAGTTTCTATGTCGTATAAAGGAAATAACGGCGAATCAAAATACTTTAGCAAATGAACGCATTCCGAACAACAGGGAGAGGCAGAATATAGGGAGAATATTGACTGAACGAGAATATAGACTGAATGAATTAAGGGAGAATATAGATTGAATGAATTAAGGAGAATATAGACTGAATGAATTAAGGAGAATATAGACTGAATGAATTAAGGAGAATATAGACTGACTGAATTAAGGAGAATATAGACTGACTGAATTAAAGGAGAATATAGACTGGCTGAATTAAAGAAGAATATAGACTGACTGAATTAAAGGAGAATATAGACTGGCTGAATTAAGGAGAATATAGACTGACTGAATCAAGGGAGAATATAGACTGAATGAATTAAGGAGAATATAGACTGACTGAATTGAGGGAGAATATAGACTGAATGAATTAAGGAGAATATAGACTGACTGAATTAAGGGAGAATATAGACTGACTGAATTAAGGGAGAATATAGACTGACTGAATTAAGGGAGAATATAGACTGACTGAATTAAGGGAGAATATAGACTGACTGAATTAAGGGAGAATATAGACTGACTGAATTAAAGGAGAATATAGACTGACTGAATTAAGGGAGAATATAGACTGGCTTAATTAAGGGAGAATATAGAGTGACTGAATATAGGGAAAAGATAGACTGACTCAATTAAAGGAGAATATAGACTGACTGAATCAAGGGAGAATATAGACTGACTGAATCAAGGGAGAATATAGACTGAATCAATTAAGGGAGAATATAGACTGAATGAATATAGGGAGAATATAGACTGACCTATTATATGGAGAATATAGACTGACGGGGTTACGAACTCGTAATTATTTCAGAAAGTACGGCCTCTGAACATCATCAGTAAAATTAAAGAAGCACCTGCGCCAGCTGGAGGCAGCAGAAAGGTTTCTTCTCTTTGAGGAGGTAGCAGAGCGTGGGACTCACGCCGATGTACGGAGACACCGGCGGGAAACCTTTCACAATTCTGCACAAGTTCCCGATGTATAAAACACAAATTAATGCAATGAAGATTAAACAAATTAATTAATAAAGAGAGTATTACTTTATTTCTTGAATTAATTACAAAAGTTGACAAGTAGTTTATTTATAGTATACGTCATCACAGTTCCCGATGTATGAAACACAAATTAATGCAATGAAGATTAAATAAATTAATTAATAAAGAGAGCATTACTTCATTTTTTGAATTATATTCACAGTAGTTGATAAATAGTTAATTTATAGTATACGTCATCACAGTTCCCGAAGTATAAAATACAAAATTTGAGAACATAGATTAAACTAATTAATGAATAAAGAGAGCATTACTTTATTTACTGAATTATATTCACAGTAGTTGATAAATAGTTAATTTATAGTATACGTCATCACTGGTCTGAGTGAATATAAATAAATGTTTAATGCAAATGTTTAATGCAATGGAAGGTGAAACGCCGTTAGTAAATCTGGTTGTAGAAAACTTAACAGAGCGACTAAAAGCCTCTACAGAGCGATTGAAGGTATTTAACTAGTGACTAGTCTCTACAGAGCGAATAGAATATATACAAATCGATCAGTACCCTCTAGTATAAATTAATTACAAAAGTTTACATGTGGACCAGTAGCTTCTACTGGAAAGCAAAAATACCGCCAATATCGATTCACGACTAATTTTTAACAAGATTAAATGTTAAATCAATACAACCCACATGAATAATTTGAAAAATTATTCTTAACTAATTAATTAACATAAAAAATTAAATAAAAAATATAATCTAACGATGTTTTCTCGGACATATTAGAATAATAATTTGAAAAAGAGTATTCTTAATTATTTAATCAACCTAAACATATTAAAACAAAAAATATAATTCTTAATTAATTAATTAACATAAATAAATTAAAATAAAAAATATAATCTGACGAAGTTTTCTCGGAAGGCGAGCGCCACGGCACTTCATCGTCGAGCTCGTCGTCGCTCTCGCCGCTCGCCTCGTCGCTGCCGCCGCCCCCGTGGCCCGCCAGGTTCTGCGACGAACCCNATGTGTATAAGAGACAGGTTAGTAGGTGCGTTCATAGGTATGTTATTAGTTTAAAATCCTGGCACGCGCATGAAATCCTGGCACGCGCATGATAACCGAGAGCCGGCAATCTGCTGGGTACGTTGATAATTAGCAGGTACGTTAGCTGGTACATTAGTAGGTTAGTTTGTTGGTACGTTAATAGGTGCGTTAGTATGTACGTTTTTAGTTAGTTTTTTAGTCAGTAGGAACGCTCCTACTTAGTAAGTTCTTTAGTAGTTAGCGTGTACGTTAGCAGTTAGCACCAACCTTACAAGCTAGCACATACGTCACTGGTTAACATGTATAGAATACATACATATATACAAATGAGAGGCATGCATTGAAAAAAAGTAGAGAAGTATTACTATTAATTATCATTAATCAATATATCTAATACTAATTATTATTATTATTCATAATTAAAAGTAATTTTCATGGTCCCATTTTCAACATTTCCCTCGGCCCACCGCTGCGCTTGTAGTCAAGCAGCGTGCCGGCGGTGTCGGAGCGCGGTACGTCTAGGAAGTGAGCGGTGCCTAGTGAAGGGCTCTCGCTCTTTGTGGTGTCTGCGCGCTCCAGCTTATGGCGCTGGGGGTCTTTCTTCAGCAGCTCTGTACCTAGGAACACAATCACGAGTTACACAATGAATTTTATTGTTAAGGAAGCATTATTTTTGCTTGCGGAAATTCAGTTTATAGGACACGGGAAGTTAATTTGGGCCTCTGAAGGCATTTTTTTCGGCATTTCTGACCATAGAAATTCAGTCATGAGTTACAAAATTACGTTTTATTGTTAAGGAAGCATTAGTTTTGCTTGCGGCAATTCAGTTTTTAGGACACGTGATGCTATCTTGTGCCTCTCTGCAGGTCTTCCTTCAGCAGCTCTGAACCTAGAAATTCAGTCACGAGTTACAAATTACATTTATTCTTCATTTTTTGCTTGCTGACGATAGAATTCAGTTTATAGAACAGGGCGGATGTTAGCTTATGGCGCTGGGGGTCTTTCTTCAGCAACTCCGTACCTAGAAATTAAGTCAAGAGTTACAAATTACATTTATTGCTTCATTTTTTGCTTGCTGACGATAGAATTCAGTTTATAGAACAAGGCGGATGTTAGCTTGTGGCGCTGGGGATCTTTCTTCAGCAGCTCTGTACCTAGGAACACAATTAATTTAATTAATTGTGAATTATTTTACACAATTAATTTTATTCTTAAGAATGCTTTATTTTTGCTTGCGGACGATAGAATTCAGTATATAGAAGAGGGGATGTTAGCTTGAGGCGCTATGGGTCTTTCTTCAGCAGCTCTGAACCTAGAAATTCAGTCATGAGTTACAAAATTAGGTTTTATTGTTAAGGAAGCATTATTTTGCTTGCGAAAATTCAGTTTCGCTTGCCTCTGAAGGCCTTTATTCGGCATCTCCGAGCCTAGAAATTCAGTCACGAGTTACACAATGAATTTTATTGTTAAGAAAGCTTTATTTTTGCTTGCGGAAATTCAGTTTATTAGAATTCAGTTTATGTGTGACGGATTGTTATGTTGTGTCTCTGTGGGTCTTTTTTCAGTAGCTCCTCACAACGCAACCTAGAAATTCAATCACGAGTTACACATTTTGATTTATGATTAAGGAAGCTTTATTTTGGCTTGCGGACGATAGCATCCAGGTTATGGGTAACCGGATCTGCTTATATACGACGTTTGAAGTTAGGTTCTTGGGTATCTGGATTGTCCCTTCTTTATCAGCTCGCCATAAAAGGACAACGGAAATTCGGACGCGAGTTATACATTATAGGTGTATGGTAAGGAGTACCGCTTGTGGACGATGGTACTCAGGGTAACAGGATTAATGTTTTAGGAAAATTATTTAAAGTTTCCTTCTATCGCAACATAACTCTGTTACTAATTCCATGATTAGCGCAAATACTCTTAAGGGAAACTGTGTGTTTGCGGTGGGAATTAATATTCATTACAAAGTGTATTTTCAGCAGATTTTTTTTCTAGGCCAAACAAAAGTAACTAGACCGAGGTCATTTAGGCTTCCAGTATTTTTAGCTAGAGCTAGAGTGAAATTCAGAAAATCAAGACTTCCTGTCACGAACACCAACAACTCGAGGAAGGCCCCGTCAAAGAAAGAAGAAAACACAATTTGGAAGGAATTATAATTTTTCTGCCGTACTGTACAGAAAATTACTCACGGTCGCGGATAAGGGCCTCTTCTCTCAAGACTCCTCTTCCTTGTCCAGCCTCCCATTCTTCCCTTCGTTTCTCCACTTCTTCTTCTAATTTCCGTTGAAGCTCGTTCACGGAAACTGGAAGCGACAGACCTAGAGTAGTGACGGCGGATGAAACAGTGAGCAGCTAAGGTCAACATCAGAGCAACCGCTTTTGGACCTCAAATTCTCTGGGCTGATTGTCGGTCGGTCAAACTTTGTCAAGATCCTCTAGAAAAACGCCAAAAATATCTAGTATAGAAAAAATGTGACTGAAAACTCTTGAACTTTTTCGATTAAAAAATTATTTGCGGGTAAACATTTCAAAGAGAAAATCTAAGTGTAAATCTTGAGTTTGTAATGGAGGCTTCTTAGCCTAATAGATAGTATTGTTTATGTTAAGAATATAATATGGATAATTAAATTGGTTGGAAAACCATAATAGCTTTTTACTATTCTTTTAATGGAATGATTGTAGTCATCGAAAATTTAAACGGTGCTAAAAATTGTAAAGATTCTCCCTTAAAAGTTCACTGTACATGAAACATTAATGATAAATTTTGATCCATTTTAAAAATTCTGGTAGAATTGACATCAGTGACGCTTAATCATTTCATGCATTAAGTACTCGTTAATTGGCAATTGTTTTTATTTGAATTTAGTCAAGTAACACTGTAAAACAAATTTATTTATTGATAAAGTACGCCGACAAGTAAAGGAAATGCAAATCCTGTTGTCTGATGCAATAGTGAACTTTATTAGATAATTAACAGAGGATGACCGACCAAACAACCGCCACAACTTGATTTATATCGTGAAAAAGTTTCCAAGGAATTGAGAATTGTGCAGAAAGTTAATATTTTAAAGTAATTCGAGGCTATTAGAAAAACCCAGCGCTAACAAAATACTACTGAAACTGAAAACTTATTTAAAAGTAGAAACACAATTTTGATAGAATCCGATGTTTCCAGAAAAAAGGCAAAAAAAGAAAAACAAATCTTGAGATTTTTTTAACTACCATTTTATTCAACTTGATTGTACGTGTATAAATTTGTCCAACTTGATTGTACCAATAAGAAACATTTAAATTTTTGCGTACTACCCAAAATTACTCCTATGCAAAGAAGAGAGAATTAAGAGTATTGTTTAATCAGGAAATAAAATTGAATACGAATCTAGTTCAGCTTTAGAAAGCGAACACTGACGATGCTAAACCTAACCAGGTGCATGCTAAATTATTCGGCCATAAAATTCAAATTTTAGGATTTTATTTCTCAAAAGTATCAAATGAAAATGACAATTCCTTGGAGACTTTATCGCAAGTGCAATACGACGTAGAATGTCAAACGAGACATTTGTAAATACCATGAGAAGTACGAAAAGCTAAGTCAACTGTTACGTCCTTAACAGGATGTTAGTGAACGGTACACTTCAAAATAGATGCTTTTATACTACAACTACTGAGATAAATGTGTTGCGGAGAGGATAGTTTAAAGTTCAAATAGTTTACATTATGACAGAATACTATAACAGTTTCCTGAGGGATAAAGAAATACTTTACAGATATATTACCAAGAATTACAATATGGGAGCCAAGAATAATAGCTAATAGTGCAAGGGGAAGAGAAAGTGAAGTAAAGACAATCACTGAAAATAATAAGCAGAGAAAAATGTGCACAAAATGAACTAAATCTAGTTAACAAACGATGCGAGGAAATTACAAGTTAAGAGATAGTACAAAGAAAATAACTGTTAAATTACAATCACACAAAATCAAATGAATAAATTGAGTTAAAATGAAAATGATTTATATAATTGTTTTCCAAGAGTGCAATGCAATAGTAAAAATTGCAGTGAAAAAGTTTCTTAATTATACCGAGCTTGAGTGCAAATTTGAGTGCAAATTAGTGGCATCGTTAGGCACGGAGTGAACTCAAGGCGATGTCCACAAAACAAATGATGTTTCTTTATTCTTTAAAGTTTTAGCTTTTGAGAATAAATGATTTATTTTTGCAAATTCGACCAAAGAAATGAACATATATGTTTGATTTATTTAATAATTACATCAAATTTTATTTTTGTTCGTATATTGAATATATTGTGCAACATATTCTCGTGACTAAAATTTGTGCCATAATATATTTGACAAAATTAAAATTTTTGCCATAATATACATAATATTATTTGGCAAAAAATGTAGTCACGAAAATATGTTGCAGGAACAAATATGTAATGATTTGTAAACAATTCAAACAACATGTTTGTTAAGAATTTACGTGAGAACGATGCAAGTGTCTATACATTTTGTACATAATTTGAGCCAGTAACAAGATATATCTTTACTCTAAAAAGATGTCAACAATTTTATAACTCTACATACCGAAAATAATTAATTGTATTATGAAGTTTTAGGCAAATGAAGGCGGTTATTAAAATATTAAAGGCGAATTAATTCTTCGATTATTCGAAGACATTTATGTATAATCGATCTGTAATAAATTACGAATAAAAGCATAACTAAAAACTGAAAAAAGTTCACAGAATATCTATAGAAATTTATTATTAATAATTATTATTTATTCATTATTAATTTATTTTTTATTATTTGCATCAACATCATGGGAATTAAATTTATTATAATTGCTTTAAGAAAACGATAATTTGATCCTGGAATCATCCTAGGAACAAACATAATTCAAAGAGTATCATATATTGAATAAAAAGTGATGAAATGATGAATAGTATGATTCAGAAGATTGGCAGTCACTTAAAATAAAAGCTGTTAACTAAAACAACAGGCAGTCTCTATAAATTGTAATGACTTTAAAAAGAAAAGATCGTCATAAGATAAACTATATTTTTGCAATGAAATCTATGACAATCATCTGCCCTGACTAGTAAGATAAATGCTAAAAATGATAGAGAAAAATTAAAATATATCCTACTAGAGGTATGAGTAGTCTATATTTTAATTTGGATATTGCCGACTTTAAACATGAGTAGAATATTTTCGTCTACTTAGAACAATGTAAGCGGTCTAAGCGGGAGCTATTTTAATTCAAGAATTATATAATCAACAGGTAAATATAGGAATGATAAAAAAGGCAAATTGTTCGTAAATTTTAGATGGACAATGCCAATCGTAAATTCGAATTCAATAAAGGAAAAATTCAATCTAAATAAAAATTTATATTATGGTACAAATTGTTTATTGCTTTTGAATTTTATAAGCGCACGTTATCCGAAATTCGCTAAAGATATTTTGTAAAAACATGCTAACGATACTCTGACTGTATACTTGTATTTAATTAGTCAAGATTAATATAGGATTGAAATTAACAAAATGAATAGGCAGTAAATCCTACCGTCGAGACCATTAACTTTAATCTCGCAAAGCTCGCTGGGTTCGCCTTAAAGTAAAGGAAAATGCTCAATTAATTTTTAAAATAATTCATATGTAATAAAATTCTTTATAAATTAGTTTCAGGATAATCTGGAAAAATTTAGAGATTAAAACCTTCATTTATCATTATGATGGCGTTTCTCCAGATATTTTAAAATTTTTAATTGAAAAAGTTAGATATGAGTGACAAAATTACCGAAATTTTTCATAAGCACACAATTTAAACAATGAAAAGAAAATTGAGTAAAAAACAAAATGTTCGCTTCAAGGAAAATCTCGGTATACTGGAAATTGCTTTTGGCAGGTAATCACAACAGCAAAATTTGTACTCGAATCAGCAGCGTTTCAATGATCATTGATGTTTTCGAATCATCAAGACACAAAACAGCTAGTATCATCGACGCAGAAATCCTTAATAAATCATAATCACAAATGTACAATACATAGAAATGCACAAAATGACACAATACTTAAATTCTGACACCGACTAAACACCAAGAAAAGACAGCAAGAATAGAAAATACGGACTAAAATATGACAAAGTAACACCCGTGGAACGTGCAAACCTTACCCGATCTCGTGGTGGCTCGAGCTCTTTCTTCACATTCTTCGGCAATAAGTCCTTTCTCCACATCCTCTTCACCACGACGATCTCCCGTGGTTTTTTCTTCACCACTAGCAGCTTCATCTCCACCCAGTTGCTGCTCCGTGGATTTAGTGTTGGATACATAAGCAGTGCTCTCCATCCCTGTGTTGGATATTCTTCGTCCATCAGCCATAGTGGACGCGGTTGGGTTTTGACTGTTCGTATTTCCCACCACAAAGGCGCTATTTTCTTCCTTGGTGATGCTCATGTAGAAGCACACATCCGTCTTCCGCATGATGTGTCGTGGTCCGGGGTTCAGCAAGATCGTGTCTTCGTAAAACTCGGGCAGTTCCGCTGGACGGACTCCTACTAACGCTACGCCAAACCTGCACACGGTTGACCGATTGTTCGAATTCAAAATCAGGTTCAAATAAATCGATTAATTAGGTAATAAATCATTCAGATATCTAAAATATCATGCAGCCATCTTTCATATCACTCCTCTATCCAACAAATAATTCGGCTTTTTAATTAATAATTCAGCCATCTCGCAATTTATATAGTCATCTAATAAATTACTCTGTCATCTAATTGATAATTCAGCCATCCAACAAATTATATAGCCACCTAACAAATTATTCAGCCATCTAACAAATCATTTAGCAATCTAATAAATTAGTCAGCAATCTAATAAATCATTAAACCATATAACAAATCATTCAGCTATCTAATAAATCGTTCAGCAATCAAACAAATAATTCAGCCATCTAACAAGACATATTATTGGCGATGGCTGGTATCACGTGGCCATTGCTAGTATCTTTACACACATCAAAGACACATGGCATGAGTTATATCTTCACTCACTTTCTATGTGAGTGGAACGAAGCGTATGTGAAGCTTTTGCCCTCGTACTCCCCGAAGAATCGCGAGTCTTTAAGGTTGATGTGGTAGATTTCATTGCCGGAACATTTACCATAAAGTCGATGCCATGCTTCTTGCGAGGCCTGACCTTCCCTGCAAAAATATAATATTATATTATCGGTGAGTGTGATAATATAATATTATTGATATAATATTATTAGGTGATAATATCATTGTATTATTGATATTATCACTTGATAATCAGCTATAATATCATTATATTATCACGGAATGGACCAAAATAGCGCTAGTGGCAGGTTTAGTATTGAGGGAAATCGCGTGTTTAGTGAACAGAAAAATTATGTTTTGTTGTTAAACTGGATTTTAAAAATTGGTTTCTTGGGAGAATGAGTCGGAAAAAATGCTTTTGATTTCATTAGAAAGTGATAAATGTTTGTGTGATTTTAGAACGACAAAGTATGTACTAAAAAAATTAAAAAGTTATCGAGTTCGAGATATTCTGCACTTGCTAGCGAAATTGTCTTGGCAGGAAGAACCTAGCGCAAAGTTCAGTTTCTTGTGAGCATTTGCGTTCATGATGACATAAAGCCCACATATCTTTGGTACTTGACTTGGGAAATGCAGACGCATTTACCGTTGATCCAGAACGTTATTTATGGGATAAAAAAGAGACCAGAATGTCGCGCCCAGAAACCATGCATCAACGTGGCGCAGAATGGAGTGCAAATTCTCAAGCGTATTCCAAACGACTCGGAGGTGGTGTGAATTTATACACGTTTACCTAACGATATGCACGTTAACTTATTTGCAAGTTTTAAATAGTACATACGATGCCAATTAAAAGTCTTTTGGTAGCATATAAATCTGCTTAATCATAAATTCATCTGCTTATGAGGAATGAAAAATAGATCTATATGATAATATTGGCTGAAGATCCTGGGATAAAAGTATTTTGTACTGTATTTCCACCACTATATGATGTGCAATATATTTATTGAAATGTACCAGCTAATATGGCAGAAAATGCAGCCTTCAGAAGAGCATTGATAGAATTCACCGTTTAAGAGATGTTTAAATTAGCTTTACTCTGATCCCAAATACTATGCTTTCTACATCCAAATTTTTTTTCGTAACAGTAAGCTCGAAAGGTTTAGTGAATTAAATAAAAATTAAATAAACTAAAACTTAGAATAAAAATAAATTAACAATGTTCGCTTACCATGAACAAAAGTAAAGAAGAAATTCAACCTGGCAACAAGCTAGATTTTCAGCTTTAAGTTTACGTCGCTGGAGAATGGCTGCCCCAGCTTTTGCATTGCTAATGCGGATCCGATAAGCAAGGCTTTTAACAAAGACCTACGGACCTCACTAACGTTAAACATTCATGACGTGTCACAAGAGGTCAGGTCTTAAATCGTACTAGTTAAATTATACTATCTAACATCAAATACGCTACAAAACGCGTTAAAAATTATTATCTCAAAATTGAGGTCATAAATCGTACTAGTTAAATCTTTATCGCCATGATAAGTCCGAGAAAAAAACGTTAAAATTGATTAGCTATTTTTAAAGAGTGCATTTGAAAAAGAGTTCTAGGGATTCTTTAGATATTTTAAGTCCTTGAATCGAGAGAATCAAATTTGCACAATACGCAAACATGAATATTTTACGTGAAATTTACACACGAATTCTGTGAGCAAATGCGATCAAGTCAATGCACCTCCATAATCAGGAAGAAATGTTTTTTGCGATCCGATATTTCCGCCTAAGTTCAATTTATATTTGAAAATTACTTGAAAGAAAATTGAATATAATATGTGATTCAATAGTCGCTTGGAAGTCGCTGCCGAAACGTCGCAAACTGAACGCAGGCAAACGGACCACTCGGTTAGGCCAAAAGCCTCCCGTTGCTACAATCGATAGCAATTAGCAAATGGACTCGTTCGTACTTTACGATCATCGATAAATATTCTATAGGTTTGTCGGCAATATGAAAATATATCTCTTACAATGTCACTTTCCATATGCGTGGGATTAGTTCCCTACAAAATTGTTCACGCTCTGAACTGTAATCACAATTTGCCTTTTAGATAAATATTTTAAGCAATGAAATACAGAGTTGGTGATTCAATAGTTCAAGTTAAAACTTCAAGAATGTTTTTAGTACTTGCTTTATCTTGCAACCCCAAAATCACAATTTTCGAAATCATTCAACAAATACACTTTAAAAAATCGAAAGTATCAAATGATTTTCGATGAAAGTGGCCCTATATCAAAATTTTGAGTTGGTGGCGAGCCTGAATTAGGAACCGCCTAGGACTCGGACCGAACGTAAATCAGCTTCTCTATGTCCGCTTTTTGGTCTACATTCCGATCCCCGAATCAGAGAGCTACCAGAGCCTGGTGAGGGGACTGAATGGATTCTGCCAACTCTTGCCCTACGCTCAGGAGACCATAAAGTCGGCCAGGAGGTTCTGACTAGTCGCTGATTGCGATCAGTTGGCCAACTGACCCAGAATAACTTCTATGCGAACATATATGTTATAGTAACTCTGGGGCGGAGGCTGAAGCATACCCCGAATTTTGTTAGGGGGGAAGGGTCACGAATCGAAATGTTTAAGAAATAAAATCAATTACCTTTCTGGGATGAAAGGTTAAAAATACTTCAAGGAATGTTCCGTTTTTGACGGGAAAATATGCTCACTATTATGAGATATTGACGAATATTTTTAAATATTAATCAATAATAGTATTCTAGGATAATTACATGGAAAAATACATAAATTAATATTTATTGATAATTAATTAATTAGCATATATTATAATTATCAATACACATATACCTAAATTTTAATAATAAACATTATGAACACCATCTATAGACTCACTGTCCCCTTGAAGTATGCAGCAGCAGAGTGACGAGGGTTGATATGCCAGATTAATTAGAATATACTATAATTATCAATGCACATATACCTAAATTATAATAAACATTATGAACACCATCTATAGACTCACTGTCCCCTTGAAGTATGCAGCAGCAGAGTAACGAGTGTTGATATGCCAGGACTCATGCAGTTGTTGGCCAGTAGCGCGTACTTGAATTCGTCTTCACACACGACGTGCTCAGCGAACTTGACGTGTAATTTGTTCTCTGGTCGGAAAATCTGCACGTATTGAGGGATGCTCGGTGCAAAGTCCTTCACTGCCCAGGATCGCAGGATCGTGTGCTCATCCTGAGGATTGTGTGAAAAATTTGCAACGGTTTTATTTTTGAAAAGAAATTACAAATCCTTGGAACAAGTAGTTTGTGAATGAAAAAAGGCTCGATTTTGACGAAAAAGAAAGGTTAATTGCAACTGGTTGTGAATTAAATATAGTCAAATCATTAATTATACCTTCGAGTGCTGATAAGAAACTTTATCTTGACTTTTCTATTGTGTTGCAGTATTGAATAAAAACAGTTTTAACGGTTCATTGATCCAACAAGTTTGTTAATTCTACGCAGTTGCACAAGAGAAAAAATGCAAAAGAAAAAATACAAAACGTATTTTGGTACAATTTTTCGTCTGTGTACCAATTAAGAAAGATGCCTGAACTTATTATGCGATAATAATATTTTCTGTGTACACATCGTTACAATAATAGAATTATTTATATATTTATATCAATATAAAGATACCCAAATTCATATTGTTGAAGCAAGGAACAGATTGTGTGCATACGAGTTGCTTAGATTTAACTCTACATTAATTTATTTCATTTGGACTATTATAGAATTAGAATTCATTAATATTAGAGAATATGGAATTCATTATAGTTTACACGAATCATTCATCAAACCGGCATGAAAGCAGTTCAAGCTTGCGATTTTCCTAAAAAAACAATACTAAGCGATAGCAATTAGGATTGTTGATTTGCTCAAAGCAGTTTAATCGCCAGCACCTGGGGACTGTATTGACAACATAATAATAACGAACAAACATAATAAATACCGAGCAGAAAATAATGGACAGCAAGCAGAAAATAAGAAATAGCGAGCAGAAAATAAGAAATAGCGAGCATAAAATAAGAAATAGCGAGCAGAAAATAAGAAATAGCGAGCAGAAAATAATAAATAACGGACAGAAAGTAATAAATACTGTAACGAGTAGAAAATAATAAATAATGAGCAATAATAATACATAACGGCCAAACGTAATAAATAACGGCAAACACAACATATAACGAGCAGAAAATAATAAATAACGAGCGGGAAATAATAAATAGCGAACAAAAAATAATAAATAACGAGTAGAAAGTAAAAAATAACGAGCAAACATAATAAATAACGACCAAACGTAATAAATAACGGCAAACATAATATATAACGAACAGAAAATGATAAATAACGAGCAGAAAATTATAAAGAGCGAGCAGAAATAATAGATAATGAGCAGAAAATAATAAATAACGAGCAGAAAATAATAAATATCGGCCAAACACAATAAATAACGTACAAAAATAATAAATAACGACGATCAAACGTAATAAATAACCGCAAACATAATAAATAGCAAGCATAAAATAGTTATTGTAACGTACGGCCGCGGTTTTATCAGCGTAGTGGCGAGCCGCTAAAATGAAGCAGGCTTCAGCTTCACTCATTCTCGCCCTCGTCAAGTCTCCGTCCTGAAAATATGAAAAAATCAATATTATTACTCATCTACTTACTACAATTAGAAGAAATTCAAGTAAATAGATCAGCAATAACAGTAAAACCAGTAAGAAAAAGTGGAAAGCTAGTTTGGCATTCAATTCATAACATTAATGCAAGCGATTCAGCTGTTTTCATCAGGGCTGTTTCAGGGCTGAAAATTAATTCGCTCAACGAAAAAAGCCCCCAAGATAGCTGAATCTAGCAAATATTGTGCATTCGTTATCCTGCAAGACAAAACGGGTAAAAAGTGCAATCACGATATTGTATCTGCCTTATTGATTTATTGAAGCAAAAATAGGAAGGCCTAAGGATTTACTTTAAAAATATTCAGCGCATAAATAAACTTATAGGGATATTTTCATGGTTAAGATCGCGATATTGGTTCGGGTTTCTTGAGTATTTAGTGCGACGATACATAATAATAAACAAATAAATAAATAAGGGTTTCAAGCAAAGTTCTTATCCATCACGTATTGATTTGCATACAAACTAACCTAGCTATGTCCGTCTAAATAGAGATGACAATTCGCGAATATGTTCTCTGAATGGAACAAATATAAAATTAAATATTATTCCGATTTCATGTATCAGTGCTTAATGAACATTTAGCTTCCATTAAAATTTCAAATTCGTTCCGAATTTGTAACTTGACTATATTATTTACGATGTGCGTGCGAACTCACTAGGAAAATTTTGTTTAACTCGCCTTCAAACAGGATCCTTGGATGTTAAAAATGTTCAACCTTAAAGCAAGGTAATAACGATGAAGGATTAGTCATAGAACATGCACAGAGAATGAAAGATTTTTAATGGATTGAAGAATTGGGAAAGCTAAGAGATTATCAGGAACAATAGATATTGTTCAATGAAGATATTGTTTTGAGGAAAATAGCTTTAGATATTACTGCATTTAAAGGTATTGTTCTCAGATCGAATAACTAAGATATCCAAGAGAATGGGATAAATTAGATCAAAGTACAATGAACTGAAACAGCGGAGAGTATAGAAATATAAATTTTTCTCGAATTAAAGAACTAAGATATACGAGAGGATAAAAAATGTTTAAAAAATTAAAAAGTATGAGATTACAAAAAGTTATTGATCACAAATTGAATAACTGAAAAAATATAGGCCATTAGAAAAAGATATAGTCGTATGATCGAATAGGTTAGTCAACCCTTTGAATACACAAAATCGATTAGTCACACATTGAAAAACTGAGACATCCAAGAGAATATTTCCTCAGGTCCGTAGGCAAAAGTATAATCTCTTTTTTCACCCACTTTCACTCATTTTACCCAAGTTCATTTACAACAGGTAGAACGTACGTGTCTCAGATGCTGAGACACCTACGTATCTCACATGCTGAGACACCCACGTATCTCACGTGCTGAGATACCTACGTATCTCACATGCTGAGACACCTACGTATCTCACATGCTGAGACAAGTACGATTCTCGCCATCTGAGGCAACATCTGAGATATGCAAATCTTGCAATCATGTAATCACCCTCGAAACACTCCAGTGACGAGCATACACATCTATGCCTCTATACAAATAGATGTAAACAACGAACATGCATATAGACGTGTGTACACATCTGTGTATTCATCTAACTATTCAGCAGTGCAAAGTCTCAAGAACAATAGCCCTGCAAAGTTAAGCTTGAAGATTAAGGGAATGATTCAAGTCAACGCAGGGATAACAGGGCCTATGAAAGCAAGTTTCGGATCTCATTAGGTTGTGTCTCGGGAGCTTGTGTGAATAAATACAGTGAAGGTAAACATGGTGAATGTGAACATAGCGAACGTGAAGATGGTGAACGTGAACATGGTGAACGTGAACATAGTGAACGTGAATTGAATGTAAACAAAGTCAACGTAAACACGGCGATTGTGAATAAATTTGATGTGAACTCGGTGATTGTGAACATGTAGCACGTGAACACAATGAATGTGAACAGGGTGAATGTGAACAAAGTGAACGAGAGCCCGGTTAATGTTTACACGATGAATGTAAACACAGTGAATATGAATAGAATGGTCTAGTTTTTGGGAGATTGTGGTCAGGTAACATGAACAAATCTCATAAAAATCTAGTTGATGATTTAATTTTAGTAAAAATTATTTATTAAATTAATTATTTAATTTTGATATTCTGGAGAACGGATTCGGAAAACACAAAATAAAATATAAATGATAGAACGTCTGAAACTAGGAAGTTAAGTGCACGTGATAGCTGATCGTAATTAAAATAATTTATATTTTTGATAAGGTTCAGATAAAAACTAGCATAGTGCCAACTGCAGAGCCTGTGTAATGATACCGAACAACTCAAATTACTTAAATTATCACATTTAATGAAATATAATACAACATTATCTGGGATTTTCATATGTTTTCTTAACGAGAACATTATTTTGGATAAGACTGAAGCTATTCGGAGACTTTCCTCGTGAGACAAATTCAGAGACAAATCTCCGTAATATGCGCCGAGTTTTAGCTTCGTTTGTCGTAGGACCTGCGAACACTGCTGTCTGGCCTTACAAACCACAAGCATGACAGGTTATTTTTTTCAACGAAATCAAGCAAATGACAAACAATAGATTCATATACAAAAAGATTCACTTTTTTATAGAACTCAAAGAGATGCTCCTAATTTTAACGATTTTCGATCAATTTTGATGAACACAATACGTTTGTATACGAAAATATGCAAAACTCTCAATTATTCAACTTGAAAATGAAAAAAATCTATACAGGAATTAAAGCACAAAAAGAGTTTTTAAACGAAAAAATCCGCTAGGGAAATAACATCATATTGAATACAAACAATAAATGCAAAAATCGCCTAATGTACGTCACATCTTACTCAATGGAAGTTTGTAATAAAACATCACTTCGCATATGTGCACAGCCTTCATTGATGTAATCCGAGACGGAATTTCCTGGCATGTTTTTATATGTAATATTATCTAACACCTTAACATACTATCTTAAATGTAATATCTAGGCACCTTTGCATATTATCTTATATCTTTTCACAGTATCTTACATATTAACATATTATAGTACATCTCAACAATATTAAGAAATTAGTATCAATTTCTACAAATCAGAATTTATCATTTTTAGTCATTTAGTTATTTAGTTTGCGATTAGAGTTTTGCGTATTCATTCAGACTTTTCCGGACTTGAGGTTTTCATCAATTCAATCGTAAGTTCATTCATGTTTTAGTTACGCACTGGTAAGGACTTTCCACATGTCACTGTACATACCAGTTCTTGATATATTTGTGCGATAACTCAGTGCTTTATATGAACTTAACCTGTATGAGAGAGTTTCTCTAGTGGCAGAGGTAGTTCCTCATCAACATGTTATCTTACACTTCAGCATACTATCTTACACTTCAGCATACTATCTTACACTTTAGCATACTATCTTACACTTTAGCATACTGTCTTACACTTCAGCAAACTATCTTACACTATAGCATACTATCTTACACTTTAGCATACTGTCTTACACTTCAGCAAACTATCTTACACTTTAACATACTATCTTATACTTTAGCATACTATCTTACACCTTAGCACACTGTCTTACACTTCAGCATATTATCTTATACTTTAGCATATTATCTTATACTTTAGCATGTTATCTTACAATTCACTGTACTATCTTGCACTTCAGCATATTATACAATTAGCATATTATCTTACACCTTAGCATATTATCTTACACCTTAGCATAATATCTTACACTTTAGCATATTATCTTACATTTAATCATATTATCTTACTTGTAAATGAGGATGTGCGTAAAACTCATTGAGAAAATCCATTATTGCGTCGGCCTGGAGGTTGGTGCTGCACACCACCACGTGCTTCTCACTCTGCGCGCGGTGCGCCGAGTAACTCCCGCCTAATTTCTTACGTTCCATCCATGTGAACGCCAGCTGCTCAAACTGCGAAACACGAACAATATAAAAATTAATATAACAAAAGTTGTTTTATTTATATATAGTTTGATTAAAAATTAATTGAATATATTGGGTAAAGATGAGCCCAGGTTTGCGAGTTCCATCCATATGAACGCCAGCTGCTCAAACTGCCACACACGAGCAATACAAAAATTAATTTTGATAAAAGATGTTAAGATGTTTTATTTAAATATAGTTCATTTAAACTTTAATTTAATTTAAAATAATTCGCGTTCCATCCATGTGAACGCCAGCTGCTCAAACTGCGAAACACGAACAATATAAAAATTAATATAACAAAAGTTGTTTTATTTATATATAGTTTGTTTAAAAATTAATTGAATATATTGAATAAAGATGAGCCCAGGTTTGCGCGTTCCATCCATATGAACGCCATCAGCTCAAACTGCCACACACGAACAATGTAAAAATTAATTATCGCAAAATTTGTTTTATTTATATATAGTTTGTTTAAAAATTAATTGAATATTCTGGGTAAAGATTAGCCCAATCTCGCACGTTCCATCCATATGAACGCCATCAACTCAAACTGCGAAACACGAGCAATGCAAAAATTAATTATCACAAAAGTTGTTTCACTTAAATATAGATCATTTAAACCTTAATCGAAGTTAGAACTGATAAAAGTGCATCGATACACTCAACGAATCAATAGACATAAGAGCCTCATTGGCTGTGTCATCCCATTGGAGTAATTAAATATTCGGAGTATTTTCCGTAGACTATTGAACAACTTCATTATTAATTGCGAAAAACTTATTTCTTTTCTGTTAATTTTGCTGATGATAACATTTCTCTATTTTCTGGTGATTTCGCTGATAATTACATTGCTTGATTTTCTGGTAATTTCGCTGATAATAACAGTGCTCTATTTTCTGTTGATTTTGCTGATAATGACTGCTTTATTTTCTGGTAAATACGCTGATAACAACATTTCAGATGTGATCAACCGACATTCCCAAATGCCGTGTTGAAAAAAATGCATAAGATTATATATAACGCTGATGATATCATTTATACATAATAAAAGTGATTATTAAATTTAATTGAAGGCATTAATGATACATAATAATATTGTAAATTCCGATACGAAAAGAAAATATCAGCAAAATTTAATCGGAGATCAGGTATGAAATTATTGAGAATACACAAAATAATTCAACGCATTTTATAAACACTTAATATGCACCGCTTATTATAACGATGCATTTACCCTAAACTTCATTTCCTGTTTAACATTATAATTTCTACGTAACTTATTAATCGAGGATTTGAGTTTTGCTTGTCGGACTTTATTTTACAGCGAATTAATGATAACATTAGAGAATTTTTTCTATACATGGGTAGTGTCTTTTCTATGGGTGACATGATGCTGTCTGCTGCATCGATTGGAAATTTGTATAGAGTTTTAGGGTCACGGCGCTGGGGCGTTTAACGGCGCTGGGGCGTTTAACGGCGCTGGGGCGTTTATTCGTTTAGGTGGACAGTGTCGCTGCTGCGAATGAATATCTCCCAGGGTTTGGATTTTTTTTGCAAGCCTTGCATAGATATATAAATGAAAATTAACGTTTTATTGTGGCACAATTGTCAGTAATTTCATAAGCTGGCCTGCGAGAGTTGGCAATGGCTTTGAAGAAGAGTTTATCTAATCTGCCTTTCTCAAGATGGCGCTCGATATACTCGATCAAATGTGAGAGACCACAAAATACTTCTCATATTGTGCGTCTTATAACCATGAAATAAAATTAATATTTCATAAGATTTTCACGTAATTTATGCAGGAAAACATTTAATATCACCTTAATTAGTTTAGTCATAAAATGCTATAAATATTTTTATAGGTCACTGCAAGAATTTGGAGCATAGATCGCAGAAATATCTATCAATTTTGCAAAGTTTATTCGTTTGTAGCCCTTGTTGTAGCGCATGAAATGAGCACTCCAGAGGAACTCACTGCAGCGCAGGTTTCAACTCCGAATACCATTTATATTTTAGTGGCGTGACTAAGATGTTCATTGTTTTTCTTTTATTTGCAGTTTTTAAGCGTTCCATGGTATTGGGCTCGGATCACAGTAGATCTACCTCCTACAAAGCTAGGAAGAAATACAGGCAAAATTACACGCAAACGTTACAATTTATTTAATATTAAATTTAGAATTATATTTCAATTGTTAAAAATTAAATCGCAGAAGAAAAAGTTCCAAAATAGTTATTTAGAATTATATTTAAATTATTACAAATTAAATAGCAGAAGTTACAAATTAGTTTTACCTGAGTTGGTAATACGATGAGCGCCACACATATCATGATGACCATGAAGAGCTGGGAGGGCCAGATATCAGGGACATAGTCCCCGTAGCCCACCGTTGAAAAAGTGACTATGACATAGTAAACAGCTTGGAATAAGTTAAGGTCCCGATGACCAGCTCTCTGGAAGTGCTGGATGCCGCAGACACTGCAGAAGACGAGACGATTTCTGATCAAAATATTATTAACAATTCGGATAGTTTAGAAAAAATTTCGAGTGTCGAAAAAAATTAACGAAATTTTAAAAATAAATAATTGATTACGCAAATTTTCCTTTAAACTATATTAGCAAATGCATATTACAAAATGCAATGAACATGCACCTTAAACGTTCCCTTGTAATGGAACGTGCACTCCCACCGGTTTATTTGTTAGAGGTAATTCCCGCNACTGCATCATAAAAGAATAATTAGCCAGACAGCTGAATAATAATGCATCCTTTTTTATGATCGACTATTGATCATTTTACGGGAAGCTCGAAAATTATAATATTTTCGTACGTGAATATTTCATTTTTTTTTTAATTTTCACGTAAGCAGAATATCTTTTTTTGAACTCTCGATGTACTGAGATAAACAGTGCTGATTTAGAACCTCTGTCGTATTTGTTCCTTAGGAATTAATCAATCCCGTCAGATTTGTTAGAGGTAATTCCCGCCGGTTAATTTTCTAGAGATAATTCCCGGCGGTTTATTTGTTAGAGGTAATTCCCGCCGGTTTATTTGTTAGAGGTAATTCCCGCGGGTTTATTTGTTATAGGTAATTTCCGCCGGTTTATTTGTTAGAGGTAATTCCCGCCGGTTAATTTTCTAGAGATAATTCCCGGCGGTTTATTTGTTAGAGGTAATTCCCGCCGGTTTATTAGTTAGAAAAAATCCCGATTGTCGAAAATAAGTAATGGAATTTTGAAAATAAATAATTGGCTAGTTAAATTTTCATCTGAACTATATTAGTAAATGCATATTTCAAAATGTAATGGAACGTGCTCCGTAAATTGTGTTCTTCGTCTTCATACCGCATCATAAAAGAATAATTAGCCAGACAGCTGAATAATAATGCATCCTTTTTTATGATCGACTATTGATCCTTTTACGGGAAGCTCGAAAATTATAATATTTTCGTACGTGAATATTTCATTTTTTTTTTAATTTTCACGTAAGCAGAATATCTTTTTTTGAACTCTCGATGTACTGAGATAAACAGTGCTGATTTAGAACCTCTGTCGTATTTGTTCCTTAGGAATTAATCAATCCCGTCAGATTTGTTAGAGGTAATTCCCGCAGGTTTCCCTCGCGTCAACCGGGTAGAACTCATTACCATCGCGCTGAAGGTTCGAAAATTCTTTTCCCTTGACTCAAAAATTAATGCTTGATATGTGAGGAACTCTATCGAAGTGTTTCATCTTGCTTTTTAAATTGAAGAAACAGGTTTTAAGTAATGTAAACATCGGACAATTTATTCAAGATAAAAAGAAAATTATCTATGATCTTATGGTAACAGTCAGAAAAGTATATAAGAGGGGAGTTGCAACATATTGTTTTTATTTTGAATTCTGTTCAGGCAAGACTAGTAAGAAAATTCATAGTTACTATTAAGTATATAGAGACAGCGTATAAAATTCAGACAGAGTAAGACAATTTGTCGCATTTTTTCGCCTTCGAAGACCACTAATTAAATCAATGAAAATTGTTGAGGCAATTTCAAGTTTGTAAAGAATCGATTGAAAAGGATAACTCACGAAAGAGGTCAAAATCAACCTTATAAAATTAACTGTTATTGATGACAGTAATGAGGAAAACCAAAGTACAACTTTGTATTATTTTTCACTTACAGTATTATAATCAGTCCTAATCCAATAAGATCTGCGAGACGATTAAAACCTAGTTTACCTGATGTAAAATGCTCACGTGAGAATGCACGCGACGCGAGTTTCAACAAGGAACATTTTATTATGACAACCAGCAACGGTCGAAAAAAATATCGTTTTTGTAAACAAACAGTCACACAGTCTGGTTTTGATTTCAGCACGGTAATGTTAACAGTCTAAATTTAAAAGTAGAGTGGAAGATGTTCAAGAAAAAACCGGGGAGACAAAGAATTTTTTCGACGATTTATTCATCAAACAGTTTATAGGAACAGACACCGAGTTTATCCCTGACATTTTATCCATTAAAAGATTACATACATTATGAGAAATGTTTGGTAAGAAATGCCTATGTTACCCCAGGTCCGGGACTATGAAGTAAATATTGATGACGAAGATAGGAAAAATATTTTGAATAGGTGACGTCATACATAAGTTCAAAATTCAACACCACTTCAGGGTAAAATATTTTTGTTTGCAATTGTCAAGTTTTCGTGGAGTTTCAACTTGAAAACACACGTACGTTTTTGGCGGTCGAACCATGACAATAAATGAATTATCCAAATTTGGATGGAATAACTGTAATTAACAGATCCTAAATTGAATGCCGAATGTCACTGATATAAAATAAAAGAAACATGCATAAACATAAAATAAAACTTAGAATTGGAAAGGGTAAACTTTAAAGACTTATTGACATACTGGAGAAATAACCAATGACGCTCGTGGGTCAAATAAACCGCATGTGGGAGTTTGCGTATTTTCACCCATCATCGGTCTAATTAGCATACGAAATAAATTCGCAATCTTCCGGAGCTTGATTGCTAACTTCACAACTTAACGGGATAACACCATAAAAAGCCTAAAGCACGAAAACTTTCTAGTAAAATCCAATTCCTCGTAGCGGAGAATTCAGTAATAAAATTTAAGAAAAGTTTCAGACCACTTAGAGTCTGAAATGCTCTTTGATAAAGAGCTGCACCTGGTCGAGAAACTTTTACTAAATGTAAATGTAGACTGAATTAATGAAGAGACAACCGTAACGAAAAATGGCATTTGCAGGCTATGAATAATATATAATATCGTTCTACTTGCGTTTGACTCTAATCGGAACCATGTGATTATTTTTGTACTACAGTTTTTAATTTTATTATAACGAGTATTATTATTATAACGAGTATTATTATTATAACGAGTATTATTATTATAACGAATATTAAATTAAATTTTTTCAAATGCAGAGGGTATATTACTAAGGAGACAGAGAGAATTCAGGTAGAAAATAATACTGACCCGAATTGAACTCGAACAAAAAACTGCCCAAAAAATGTTTCCAGACTCACTTGGAAAAACTCCATTGAAAAGAGTTTTGAGTTAGAGATAGAGAAAACACTCTATCTCTATTGAAAAGAGAAATAGCTGACAAATAAATTCATGCAATCCCGTCTTAGAATGTAGAACGGAATTGGGATAAATAATTTTGAGTGACAATTTTTGAAGAAATATTGGTGTATTTTGAAGAAAGAATGGTGTATTTTGAAGAAATATTGGTGTAAGAACTGAAAAGACTTGCCTGGTAAATAGGATAAATAAATTTAAGTGAAAATTTTGAACAAATAATGGTGTATTTTGAAGAAATATTGGTGTAAGAACTGAGAAGACTTGCCTGGTAATTTTGAACAAATAATGGTGTATTTTGAAGAAATAATGGTGTAATAACTGAGATGACTTGCCTGGTAAAGACTAGGCACATGAAGGTGGCACTGAGTATCATGAGCTGCTGGCTCAGCGCAGACTGTGACCGCTGCATGGCCCGATGCAGGTCATTCTGAACAAAGAATTTAAATGAAAATATTTCATTTACTATATACGAAACATGAAAGGTTAGTGCAGGAATAATTTGAATATCTTGCATCGCTTCGTTAAATTCGAAATTATACAAATAGTAAAACCCTCATTAAGAAGTCTACATAATAATTCAACAATGAAAGTATTTCATTTACAATATTAGAAACATGAAAGGTTAGTACGGGAATAATTTGAATATCTTGCATCGCTTCGTAAAATTCGAAATTATACAAATAGTAAAACGCTCATTAAGAAGTCGACATAATAATTCAACAATGAAAATATTTCATTTACAATATTAGAAACATGAAAGGTTAGTGCGGGAATAGTTTGAATATCTTGCATCGCTTCGTAAAATTCGAAATTATAAAAGAAGTAAAACCCTCATTGAAGTCTAAATAGCAATTCAAATTAAAGTTATGGAATGATACGAGAGGTTGGATGTTTTGTTCCATACTTAAAAGTTGATAATTTTGCACAAATTCAAATGAAAAGTAGGTCAATGGCGAACAAAAGGTCAAGCCAGTAAAATAAATTACAAGATGGCAATCTTATTCGTAAGTGTGCCATTGAGGTCAGTTTGCGGGCGACTCGCGCTTTCAAGATTCGCGTCTCTGCTCCACAATTGTGATGAATGATCCACAAAATTCCGTAGACTTGGCCTTTAGCCAAAATAACTTTGCTCTTGCGGACTGTGCGGCCACAAGCCGGAACTCGATTTCTTTTTTTAGATATTTTTTTCTTTTTTTTGAGTTCAAATTTTAGTAAAAGTGGGACATTTTTCTGGGTCATGAGAGAAATGTGTTTCCGGAGTAAAAAGTCGATGGATTAAGTTAACGGAATTCATTTGTCCAGAAATTGAGTAATGATTGGGAAATTTTTATTGAAGTTTGTAGTTATTTATTTATTTATTATAGTATGAGAGGCTCTATAGATCATTAAATTGAATTAAGGATAGAATTTCTGAACCTTAATAAATAATTTTGGCAATTGCTAATACTTATTAATTAATAATTTATTATTAATTAATGTTAATGATATTAGCCTAAAAGTAATTTTGGGCCTGTCAGAAGTACCGTTAAACGTGAAGGAAATTTATTCACTAAGCGATATTCGGTCAACCCTTTATCTTTATTTGCATTCAATACCAATACATGGGAATTTTTTTACTCAAAAATACTCTGAATCGTGAACTTAAATTCTAATAAACCTGGGCAGTGGCATTTTTAACGCATAATTCAATTTATTATTGTGCATAAGATACCCAAAGAAGTTAATTCTATGTATTTTTCCTTGAGTAGTTCGCCCTCGCGAGTTATATATCATTGCATTCTTGAAAGTAATTACACTTTCATCATTTCATGGTGCGCGTTGAAATAAAAACAGCGAAGTTATAAACGCGTAGCTAGCAATCTACAAAGCGGGTGAGCCGATCGATGAGGACGGGGCAACCAATAACGCTGAATTTGCCGGACAATAACAAAGCTTGTCTACGGTACGCGAGATGTGAACAACCCACCAGCAGAGTGTTAGGGTCACCAAAGATCTTGAATTAATGCATCGTTAAAATTAATGATGTGTCTTGAGAATGGAATAGTTCAGTTAGTGAAATTTATTAATAAAATTTAAATGTTTTTGACGGAAATAGTGAATTTATAAATAACTGAGGAAAGGCGACTGAAAAAAAAGAAATCATCTATTAAGGATATATTGTGAAATGCTATTGAAAAAGTATGGAAGGAAGGGTCCAATGTTTTGTAAACTTATGTCAATAAGAGTGTACAAATTTACTGTGCCCATCTGGTGGACGTCGATCAAGTGGGTTACTTACAATTTAAAAATTAGAAACGATCGAATATGTTACTTGCTTATTTTAAAATTAGGATCGATGTGAAAGAAAAACGAGCATTCGGGAGAAAAATGGGCTATTTTGTCTATATAGTGACATACTAATTTACAACACGAGCACATATGTGATCACAGCATAAATTTACCGCCCTTTTATCGGGCAACTAGGGGCCATACTTTCAAAACTCGCTAAGTGAACGTAAGTACTTACGCTCTATTGTCTTGTCTATGATTGGTGGATTTTGCTTGAAAGGCCGTCAATGATTGGCTGATGAACTTACGATCTCTTAACTTTTTATGAAAGTATGGCCCCTGGTCAGGATGAAAACCACAAGGGGAAGAAGTGAATTGTTATTTGGACAAAGCGCCTCTCATTTTTTCGAGTGATAACTATTACAAAGATAAATTTGAAGAGACGTACACATGACGGCATGGATAACAGGTGAATAGAATTAAATAGGAAGAAATTACATGGAAGTATTAAATTTAGGAGAAAAGCAAGTATCATGAGGAATGCGATTGTGTCCACATGATATTTGGAATAACGCAAAATGGTTGAGAAAGAAAAATTATAATCAATATTTCTAACGTAGATGGCAGAACCAATTTCCAGGGATCCACTAAAATATAATGTGACATAAAGTAAATCTGTTAGAGGAGAGAAGTCTAACGTCAAATTAATTAACTTGAATTAAAATGATTTCACAAAAATTCTAATAATGATCTTCTCAATGTGCAATAAAATACGCTGATTATATTTACTTGACCAGCAAATTTTTAATGTGAAAATAGCATTTCAAAAACACCACGTCGATCATTTTATATGGACTAAACGATTAAAAAATAAATAGGCACTCTCATTCCGCATAATTTGTTTTGTTGGTTGCAGGCAGGCAACAAAACTTTCTAATTGCAACAGTTGTTGTTTTTAGAACTTTTGGCCTCTCCACACTGGGACCGATTGCAGAACAAAACTGCAAAAAAATATTATAAATAATTTCTAAAAGAAATTAAAATACTTCAGAGAACAGTTTTCTTTATTAAAAATTAGTTCTTGTCTAATCAATAATAAATTTCAAATGTAATTAATTACATATTGTTTAAACCTTAATTAATTCTGAAGCTAGTTATTTCCATGTAAGAACGCTGAATTCGAATTAAATTAGAGGTACAAAAAATTTTCTTTCGATTTGTGGAGTGCTTTCGTATCAACAATAACCTATGTAATAGTTGCATTCAAGTAAATATGTTATTTTATATAAATTATTAAATTACTTTTTTCAATTAAGATTTGTGTAAAGTTCTGGGAACCTACATAACTATTAACGCAGTTCAGTAATTTCATTTATAACAATAATTTTTCACTCAATCTTTCTGTGATTAGAACGTTGTACACTATGCGCAATTATCAGTTATAGAAATATCGATCACGGCTGCTCCCCGAATATTCGTTTTACCGAATCGAAAAATTTTAACAAGGCAACGCGTTTTCTCTATCCTGCCTGAGCGAACTCGGAAGCCTTTACATTCTTGAGCTCAGATGGCAGTTTCTTCCATGAGTTCCTTCCATCAGATGGCAGTTTCTTCCATCAGTTCTCATCTTCGCCATAAAAACAAGAGTCTTCGCCCTAATGGTGCAACCCGTGGAAATTTTTCGCGATGGTGACGAAGCACTTCCGTAACTTCAGACATAACGTGCGAAGTGTTCTCTTTGGGAGGTAAATACTTTGTTTGAATGTATCAAAGTTTAGTACGAACAGTGAAAGTTACGAGATTTGATCTGGCATGCAATTATTAATAAATGATCTAAGAGGGAATCTATGATTTATTTTTTGGTTTTGTTGATTCATCTTCGTCGATAAGTCTTATGGTCTGAATGTCTCGATGATTGTGCAAAAAAAGTTATTTTTTATGCATGAATTAATTAGTTACAAATTTCCCATGGATGAAAATTTTAGTTAATTTGTGTGTTGAACAAAGTCAAGGCCATACACCGGTTTCTAGAGTAGGTCATGGTTTCTACGATCCTGAGGCAATAAAAGAGACCATTTCCAGATCTCTAGAGAAGCCGACTTTCGTAAGAGATTTTGTAAGAGGTCAGGGCTCTTAGAACTATAGACAAGGTCAAACTCCTCAATTAAGTTCATGAAAAGTTTAAAGCTATTAGGTTCTCTATGGAGTAAGTCACAGAATCCTGAAACTTTTGAGGTTGTTAGAGCTTTTCGTTGAACCATAAAATAAGTCAGCAATTTTAGGTATTGGAAAAATATAACTAGATACTCACAAACATATTTTCGAGCGCATGTTTGGCCAACCAGCAGTTGAGGAAAGCCGGTAAGAATAAGTTCCGTAACGGCGGATAGCAGATCTGAAACAAAAGAATTTTTGTTAGTGAGAACAGGAACGGCAGCCAAGAAGGTTTCTGCAATAAAATTCAGTCACGCAACAACGTACACAGGAAAATAGCGGAAAGTGAAAATAGTGGAAAGTGATAGTAGGTGACGTCGCCGTAGGTATATTGGCCGCCCACTCGTGATGGAGAAAAGGGTTACAGTGAAATAATTTATTGCACGTAAGTCATATTCTTCTAAAATGACTAACGCCAGATGAGTTTTCTTCTTGGAACTTGTTGACGATATTTTTATTTTATTGGCATGCGTCACATCTGAAATATGTGATGCTTCTCCTCGTTTATATCGTACTCCTTGCAATCTTATCCATTCGAAATTTATTCCGTGTCTCTCAGAAACATTCCTAAAATTATATTTCTCATTAATAGGGTAATTAATTAATTCGTAGCAAATATACAGGAGTTAGACACAATAAGGGAAACACCTTATGAATACACGAAGTATTTTTAAAAAGATTAGGTCCACATTTTACGGAAGTTACAGCTTCAATTCTCCGAGGCATTGATTCAACCAAATTATGAATTATTTTCAAATGAATTTTAGCCTATTTTTACAACACTTCTCTTTAACTTCACTTCTTGTTGTTTGTCTGTCTGTCTGATACAAATCTTATAATTGAAATTAAACACACTTCTACTTATCCTATCGATCTGAAATTTTGCACACTTGCGTAAAGTTGGGGACAATGCATGAATCAATTGACAAAATAAGTAATTTTGAAATTAATAAATGTCCTTTTTCAATATTAAAAATCTGAAAAAAAAAAAATTTTGTCAGCCACTTATCTTATAATTGATATTTAACACACTTTTACCTCTCCAATCGACCTGAAATTTTGCACACTTGTGTGAAGTCGGAGGCAATGCATGAATTAATTGACAGAGTAAATAATTTTGAAAAAAATTTATATATTAAAAAATTGAAAAATTAATTTTTTTGTAATATTCGAAAATAAAACTAGAAATTCATTGTACATCTGTATTATTGGAGACACTGGATTCTTCATAAGTTTTGTCTTTAAAAAGTAATTTTTAAACGTATATTATCCAATTAAACCCGCTTACACCCTCTTTCAGTTAGACCCCAGTTTAATCCTCTTTCAGCCTGTTTTTAACCCTCTCTCAATGTACACTCGGTCAGAGATCGGAAAAAAGGTAAACGATGATTTGTCAGAGAAAATCACATTTTCCCCCAGCTCGAGGGACCGATTCTGAAGGTGTTTACCCTACTCTATACGCTGTAAAGCATTTGTATTTGAGAAAAGACTTTCGCTAATTGCAACTTTTCCATAGAATCTAGATTCGCAGCTCCTGACGACATTTTTTATGTGAAATAGGTTCTGTAGGTGTTTATTGAGGTCTGTTGTAATTTTTACGGACGTGATCTTCCGATTTTTCCAAACTATTTGATTTAGAGACCGACGGCATCTCTCAGACAACTACGACTTTCGGCCAGACCTGTGCTTTGCTGGGGACGTTTTTCCTTCTTTTCCAAAAGCAGCCATTACTTTCAAGACAGTACCTCTTGAAGCGTTAATCATTCGGGAAGCTTCTGTCACACTATGGTGCCTGCAATACGGGTACCAACAATTTGGCCTCTTTGAAATTAAGAGAGGTTTGTAATTTTTATGATGTTAGAGTCACAAAAATTTCCTAAAAATAGCTGAAAAAACATAATATATCATTTAGCAACAATAATAAACAATAAAACATTAAAATATGTCAAGTTTTTATTGTTTACAGCATTTCAAAAATTATGATCTCTAAAATGTTAGGTGTCGGCTCCGTGGACCTGCTCCGCTGCGTGGCTTATGTAATATGCTCCATTATTCTGTCTAACCCCTGCATGTTTAATAAGAGAAATCCAAATAGTTTGGCATTTAGTTTCATCCATAACCTCCACGACACTTTTTTCGGCAAAGACTAATCTACTTCATGAAAAGCTACGTCATTTACTTATTAACTTAGGAGGAAAATAGCGTAACTCATTAAACTTTAGCGTAACTCACTTTAGCGTAACTCACTTTTTGTGTAACTCACTTCAACTTAACGTCTTTATTCATCTTGATGGAATAAAAACATAAATGTTATTGCGATTTAGTTCATCAAAGTATGAAGAACTTGCGCTAATAATTATATAAGACCGCAATAATTAATTATGACAAGTTTCACGCTGTACAAAAATTATATTGGAAGAATTTTGAAATGAAAATCATAGAGTTCTCAAATGGAAATTTGTAAATCAAGAATTTATATACTTTATACCCTTCTACATTCATACGCAATTCGCTGAGCAATCAGAAATCGAATGAATAGTTTAAAAAAACATCAATAAAAATGCATGTATTCGAGCTTACAACAGTAAGGCAATAAATTCATCCGCTTAGCTAAGCATCGTTTGCTTACGATTGATTAGTGAACAAGCAACATTAGAGAGAGTACAACTCTTTGCGAACGAAGAATTCCATTGTAAAACAACACGAACTGTGGATTCGCGATACTCAACACTACAGTAAATAAAACATCAAAGACTTTTATTTCTCAATTCCAGAGTTGTTTCTGTTAAGAAATCCGCACACACTGAATGAACATAATCTCTTTGTTAAAAAATGAGTATAACGAGTGATTGAAAACTAATCTAAAAGTGTGAACGGCTAGGAATCTTCATGCATAATGAACATATATGCCGAAAAAATAATGAGAAACTATCTTTTCATCTCAGAGGCTTTGTTTACCCTTTATATCGTATTTTAATGAGCAGTCTAGGGATGACACAGGTGGGAAGACATTCAATCTAAAATAGCAGAACTGTATAAAGGTATCCAAGTTCCATCTCGATTTCATCAGCTTCTTCGGAGAAATTTAATATTTTTCAACTAATCTGGTGAAACGCAAGGTGTTCATATTTGGATCACTGACTTCCACAGGAGCAGCGAAAAGATAAAAAATGTAAAGACTCGAAAACTCGAAAACAAATGTAAAGACTTTACTCGAAAAATGTAAAGACTGTAAGCTCGAAAAAATTTGGAAATGGAAGCCAGATGAAACTAAACCAGATTTTTTGTTTACAATCTCCACATTGTTAGGGATTCGAATAAGTCTCATTTTTAAATCAGGAATTTTAAGTTTAGACAAAATAGTCTGATCGTTCACGTCTGCGCATCAGGAAGTTTAGGTTAGTTATTGTCTGGTGCAGAGTTGTGACGGAGGTTGGGGTCCTGTGTTATTAGTGTAGGCTAGTAATGAGTGACCGTTACGTGTATACGTATTAAAAATAGATTTAATTTGTTTAATGTTTTAATATGGATTCTTTTAATATTTCTTATCATTCTTATTAATCTGGCACTTACGTTTAACGTATTTTAATTTTTTTTACATTTTCAGGAAAGTTTAGAGCTTGAAACTTGGAACATTAAATGTTAACCATGCTGGAGCTTGACTTCCTCGTGAAACATTACTAAGGGTTGGATTTAAGGACGATCACGAGCCGTAAATGATCACGTTCATGCCTGGACTTAATTGGTTTTTGGGGGAAGCCTACATGCTAAATTTTCTCCTGAATTAATATGTATGATAAATGAATAGGTTAAATTGTCCAAATAGTGACATATTCTTACCCACAGCTCGAGCACTGCGTACGTAATACTAAAAAGGCGACTATAAATAAATAAATAAATAAACTGGTCTAATTAGGACTATAAATAAATAAATAAATAAATAAATAAATTAATTAATAAATAATAAACTTGAATAAAAAGGCCTGGCCAAATTGGGTCACGATGATGAACACAGTTGAGGGGAACAAGTGCATCGCTACTTGGACAGTCTCACCCATTTGTGTGTGTGTGTGTTTGTGTGTGTGTGTGTGTATGTTTGTGTGATGGTGATATCCCTAAATACAGGAAATATTTATGTCCGTATTGTGCAGAGTAGCGCGTACCGCCTCATTTTGTCATTAGGAAGAGAATTTGCTCGGCAAGGATAAAGCTTTTTATGGCAAAAAATCACATTCATGAACATTTTTCGCACTTTAGAAAAAATTAGAAGAACCTGTCAAGAATTTTTGAAGGCCTGGTCTCGGCTCAAAGCTTTGGAAGGAGCTCGGAGGAGCGAGGTTTTGTTTAAATATACACAGAGTAACAACGTATGAGTTTAATAAGTTTTTTTAGATGAAAATAAGCTGGACTTTGCTCGACATCAAAGCGTGCAAGCCAGAATGGATATGACGGCAAGTTTGCCGTAATAATTCAGCTGCTTTTGTGAAAAGGATCATCGTTAGGCTGACAGCAAAAGGATCATCGTTAGGCTGACATTAGGAATTCTCAGTTTCATTCCGCAAAAAGTTAAAAAAAAACATCTACAATGTCCTCATCTCGAGAAACTTTTAGGCGTAACATTTAAAATTCTGCCCTGCCAAACTTGCTGTCAAACAATGATCAAATTTGCCGAGGTACAATCTTTTTGATGATCATGAATATCTTGGATCAACATGTCGATGAGTTGAGTGTTGTTGAATAAACATGTTGAATAAACTTAAAACCCTGGTGTTCAGGTTGTTGAATTACTCACTGCATAAATACTTAGGATCAGATTAGGATAACTCATAGGTACCTATTGCATGTGAAAAACTTAATGCCAAAATTTATGAAGGGAGCTTTAATGCAACAGAGAAGCCGATATACTTAGTACTGATATCAGTTTAAATGAACACACCGAGTAACCGAATGTTCGAATGTTCGGCCTATTGAATATCACTTTTTTTCATCCTTTGATTGTGCAGCTAGGAGATGAGGCCAATGCCTCGTGGATGACAAAATGTTATGAAATTGGTCGTGAGAATCTCATTTCTCGTAATACCGTCCGGCGGCTAATAATTCTTGCAGTTTTTTTAAACAGAAAAAACTGGAGAGAGCCGGACTAGTGCTCTGCGGCTCGGAAGGGTCAATATCGCTAGAAGACAAACTCGACAGCGGTTACAGCGCAGCGATATTCGCAATGTCCCTTCAGTATTTAGAAGCGATGATATAGAAATGTTTTATCCCGACGGCATTCGACAGATCCCTTAGGCATTCAAGAGCAACGATATAAAAGTGCTATATATCCATCCAAAACATAAATACAATAAATAGAAAAACATAAATAAATACAAAGACGTAGAATTCTTATATCGCACGGAGATTTATCAGCGAAACTATATAAAAACGTTTTACGATCTAAATTGTTTTAGAAATCCTGATTGGGTGAGGTACTTATATTTTGAGAGCAGCTAAAAAATTGGTGCTTATCATTACTAATTTATGTTGTTGATTTGGAAAAAGAATATTAAATGTTTGTCATTGATTCACCGCAAATAATTCATAATTTTCCTATAAGGCGGCACTGCACAGCCATATCTGATAAGATAAGAACCGCGCGCCAGATGCCCGGCCTGTCTCATCCATGTGCCTCAGGATGGACGCTGTATTTGTTCCACAGAAAGAACTCGTGGAAAATAGCGGAAAAACACGTTTGCTAATTAATATAATGTTCGAGAACTAATATAATGTTTACAAATTAATATGCTCTCTCATATATCCTGCTTTGCGCTTACCACTCCTAGACTTAATGAAGAGTAAATTCAGAAATAATTAAGCCTGTTGAAGCTGTTAATTAAATCTCCAGAACAAATAATTATTGGCTTCAAATATCCTTAATTTATGATGAGACTGCGATGCACGATCGGGAATCAAGACATAAGAATTAAGGTGGATACGGATACACAACTTAGCAATTTCAATAATAAAATTTTTAGCAACTTTGAGGAACGGGGTGATTTTTCGACATCTTTGAGGAACGGGGTGATTTCTCAACATTTCTGAGAAACTGGATGATTTCTCAACTTGTATGTGAAACGAAATGAATTCTAGGAATCTTTGAAAAATTGGGGTTATTCCGTAACAATAGTAGAAATGGGTGATTCTTCTAGCATTTTTGAGAAGCGTGGTAAATCTTTTGATCTATCGAGTTACTCCGGGGCAATTGGGATGCGAAACTTGATTGTAGGCAAATCTTAGAACATCGAATGTATATTATTGATGTCTTAATTTACGCGAGACTCACCGTAAGCACGAAAGGGATAGTGTTCACAATCTCCAGCATGAAGTAGAAAGACTTGAGGATCTGCCAGATATTTCCCTGCGCAACGAGCATTAATCACAATTATTCTCAAGAAGTATATAAAAAAGTAGGAATCTTAAATCAATCAATCAATAAATCTGTTTTCAGTGTTTACTGAACCGCGTATCTAGAGTAAATATTTTATCAGGGTATCTTCAAGGTTGGTAATTTTAAAAGTTGATTAGTTTGAGTACACTAAATATTTATTTTGGAATCGGTTTCTAACATCGAAAATCAAACCGATGCTCTCTTTTATTGCAAAGAGTATGTGATATTGGATTTAATCTTCCTGGGTTTTCTGTTATAGTATAATAAATTGTCAGTTCAACCTAATAGTTTTAGAAATAGGAATAACAGAGAAAATACTTTAAATATTTTATAAATTCTGATTATATTCTCAAGGCTTGTTCGAGCAAGGCATACATATACTCATTCGCCTTCTTACATCAATTTATAAGAAAACCCCCGGTATTTTAAATTTTTCTACCGGTTTTAATATTCCGATCGTAATTCTAATGATATCGGAGCATAATTAATTGATATATGATAAGTGATCAAGCAATTTGTTACAATTTGACAACAGCAATCAAGCCATCGGTGTTTATTGTTATACTCAGAAAAGTTAATTGGTTTTATTAACCAAATAGTGACACTCTTTCTGCGCGTGGTACTGGCAAGCCTTTTTTCTCAGCCAAGCTGGATTAGGATGACACACACAAAATTAAAAAGAACATAGTAAATTGGACAATGTCTAACCCATTTATTTGAGTATAATTGTTGCCAGACCAAGGGGCGCAATTGTGTTACCGTCTCTGAATTGGGAGATTGGGGATCTTTAGGATCTATTATTTAGGATCTTTTCTTTGGGATTTATTCTTTAGGGTATATTCTTTGAGATCTATTCTTTAGGATCTATTCTTTTGGATCTACTCTTTAGATCTATTCTTTGGGATCTATTCTTTAGGATCTTTTCTTTGGGATCTATTCTTTAGGATCTATTCTTTAGGATCTATTCTTTAGGATCTATTCTTTAGGATCTATTCTTTAGGATCGATTCTTTAGTATCTATTCTTTAGGGTATATTCTTTAGGATCTACTCTTTAGGATCTATTATTTGGGATCTATTCTTTAGGATCTATTCTTTAGGATCTATTCTTTGGGATCTATTCTTTAGGATCTATTCTTTAGGGTATATTCTTTAGGATATTTTCTTTAGGACCTATTCTTTAGGATCTATTCTTTAGGATCTACTCTTTGGGATCTATTCTTTAGGATCTATTATTTAGGATCTACTCTTTAGGATCTATTCTTTGGGATCTACTCTTTGGGATCTATTCTTTAGGATCTATTCTTCAGGATCTATTCTTTGGGATCTATTCTTTAGGATCTATTTTTTAGGATCTTTTCTTTAGGACCTATTCTTTAGGATCTATTCTTTAGGATCTACTCTTTGGGATCTATTCTTTAGGATCTATTCTTCAGGATCTATTCTTTGGGATCTATTCTTTAGGATCTATTTTTTAGGATCTATTCTTTGGGATCTATTCTTTAGGGTATATTCTTTAGGATATATTCTTTAGGATCTATTCTTTATGGTATATTCTTTGGGATCTATTCTTTAGGATCTATTCTTTAGGATCTACTCTTTAGGATCTTTTCTTTGGGATCCATTCTTTAGGATCTATTCTTTGGGATCTATTCTCTAGGATCTATTCTTTAGGATCTATTCTTTGGGATCTATTATTTGAGATCTATTCTTTAGGATCTATTCTTCATGTTCTTTAAAATTTTAAAGCCCTAAGATAACGCAGCAATCGAGGCTATGTCTCAGAATGAAAGATAATTAATTTTCAAATAAATTAAAACAAAAATTTCATGAAAATGTCACCACATTAATTTCCACAAATCACCTAATGCCATAAATACGCATAGCGTATTCATGCAAACTTCACGCCCACAAAACCAGAATTATAATAATTCAAGGAAACACTAATTATTTATTATTACTTGTTTTAATTTATAAATTATTAATTAAAAGAATTAAGAGCTAATAACTCACCTTATAATTTAGATAAGCTAGAAGTAAGGCCTCTGATAACGATACAATAGACACAGCTACTTGCAGCACCCATAAAGGCAAGGGTCTGTTCACCCAGATGATGGCCTTCCAGTTGATGATGGGATACTCCATGAACTGCTCGTCTGTTTTGTTCTGTGACGCCTTGAAGATGGCGTTATCGGCGCTACCGCACCCGTAACTGACAATAAAGACATTTTATTAGTATATTGGCCTCTTCACCCAGTGACACCTGTAAACCAACGATTAATTTTAAAATTTTATATGAAATTCAAATATATATTGTATATTGTTAAAAAATAAAAATAATATATATTATTTTTATTAGTATATTGATAAAGTTAGAAAATATCTACGGATCTGTGTTGAATAATAATTAAAACATAATCTCCAATTCGTACATTGACAAGCGTAGTTTTATTATAATGATATCAGTGACAATTATTATAAACGTCATTTCATTACGCAACAGTAAGGACATCCGAATTTTTTATATTGATAAGAAATTATAATAAAAAACTTATCAGGTAATCTGAATTCGGGTATATAATATTATCAATCTTTGCACAGAATTAGTCATAATGAATAAACTTTCGACAATTGAATATCGATGCGAATATTGAATATTGACATCATGAGTTGATCACTCTATAAAAAATATAACCATAGCAATTTCATGCATGGCATGATAAATTTATCAACAAATACGGTATATTGAAGTAACTGTTAATCATTGAATTCTTATGAGAAGGGCTATGAATTAAAATATCTTGAATCGTTGCATTCATAATTAATTTTCATTTGCAACTTGTCAGAAAGTTTTCAAGTCGGCAACCCTAAAGTTTACAAGTAATTTAGCTTCGATTCATTGCGGGTGAGATTTAAAATCTCAAAAAGTTACTGGCAATAAAAGTTACTCAATCAAGTCCGCGCAGAGTTTTCGACTGAAAGTCGGGAAATATTCTGTATTTGTCAGATGGGGAAAAACTTTCGTTAGATCCAAACGAAGTTGTACATCATTTTTAGAAAACTGAATCAAATTTTATTCATTTTGATGTACCCAAAATTCATGGACTAAAATTTGCATTTATAATATGTGAAGTATTTCATCACTTAAATTTCGAGACGAATTTGAGAGAATCCACCTAAGAGCTAAAATTATTTCTTTAAAATTCTCTTGCAGTTTTTTCTTGCTTTTAACAAAACTCAAGATAAGTCGGTGCAGAAACAATGTTAATATAAATTTTTTGCATTTATATCTATTAATGATTCGATAATTATATTACACATCAAAAGAGAGACGTTAAGTTAAATTTTTCAAATTCAGTTCATGTACATCCGATTACGTTCCAAACATAATTAAAAAATATGCCAGATTTTGCATAGAAATCATATCAGAAACAAAGCTTGGCTGGCAAGAAGTAACTATTCAAACGTTCATGCCTAAAAAAAATTTAGACCACACCCGCAATAACCGACAGTCACGAATATCATTCAACACAAAACTTTCATAACTTCCTTCACTTCCTATAAATAGCAACCCAGTGATGGAAATAGCGCAGCAATGAATAAATTGTGACTGAGAATTAGTGGTTCGTTTGTTTTACGTAGCACAATGGCCGGACTTACGAAGGTACACAGAAGTATGAAGGTACACAGAGGTAAGAAGGTACCAGAAGTACGAAGGTAAACAGAAGTACGAAGTTACACAGAAATACGAAGGTAAACAGAAGTACGAAGTTACACAGAAATACGAAGGTAAACAGAAGTACGAAGTTACACAGAAATACGAAGGTACACAGAAGTACGACGGTACACAAGTACGAAGGTTCACAGAAGAATGAAGGCACACAGAAGTACGAAGGTACACAGATGCACGAAGGCACACAGATGCACGAAGGTACACAGAAGTACGACGGTACACAAGTACGAAGGTTCACAGAAGAATGAAGGTACACAGAAGTACGAAGGTACACAGAAGCACGAAGGTGAAGGCACACAGAAGTACGAAGGCACACAGAAGTACTAAGGAACACAAGCTCGCTATCTTCAATACACAGGAAGAGTTGACCTATCGAAAGAAGTCTCATCAAGTCAGGTAGTTCGAAGAGTTCATGCATATATGACTTGGAACATATTAAGGTCAAAGTATTTTATTGACTTAAATTGATTGGCATTCGTAACTTGACTAGAAGACCGCAGACAGTGAAGGATTTATGCTCGATGGTCGGTCATGCACTGAGTGTGATTATTGACTGCATGAGTAGCAGGATATAAATGAACAAATTCTGTGGCGGACATTAATCAACTAATGTATAGCAAATAGTCCTGGTTTAGCTTTCTTTGTTTGAAGGGGATAATTATTAATTATTTAAGGGGATAATTATTATTATCCCCTTAATTATTATCCCCTTAATTATTATATAATCCCCTTAATTATTATTATCCCCTTATTATCCCCAAAAATAATCCCCCTTAATTATTATTATTAAGGGGATTATTTTTGTTCTGTGGGATAATTATTTTTAAAATTGGGCAATGTTCAAGTAAATGAAAATTCTCTTAATAATTATCAATTAAAAAGACAGAACATTTTCATGGTCGCATACATTTCAGGAAAATTTACATTTTTAGTAGAATCATTCTCAGCACGTCATCATTTTAATAACTTATCACCTATTCAATCTCAAGACGAAAATGTTAGAGAATTCATCTGACAACACAGAATTTTTTAATTCAAGTCAATTTCAATATGCGGAATCCTTCTTGAATACAACGAAGTATAAGATAATATGGGGAGAACAAGTAAAATTATATGCAAATTTCATATGAACTATTTCTTCCTTCAAAAATATAACAAATCTAATAAATCGAAGAAATCTAAATATGAAATTAGATCAATGTACAAAAGTTTATCCACGTAAGGAATTTAAAAGCAAAGAAAACGCCAAGAAAATTCACCATATCGATATTGAAATCGTTTCGGAGTCCAGCTCCATCATCAGTTCGACTAAACTAAAATGAATAAAATCATTTCGGAGAATGATTAAATAAATGAATGCATATGAATTTCGGAGAAAGAATGAAAAATGAATAAAATCTAACGTTTCGGAGCTGGACTCCGAAACGTTTTCAATATCGATATGGTGAATTTTCTTGGCGTTTTCTTTGCTTTTAAATTCCTTGTGAACTTGCGATATAAGCAGACTGATAATATAAGTATTTATCCACGTAGATATACACTTCAGTTGCATGAATTATTTAAAAAAAATCGTTGAACTTTGTGTTAGCAAACAAATTAGTAAATCAATAAGAAAACAGTCAATTTAGATTTATAGATTTTACTTTGTAATCACCGAAAAACTTGAAAAGCAACTCGTAAAGAAAGTATTTATAAGTTAAAGTAGAAATGGTTATGATAAATAAGTAGGAAAAATGTTGAGTAGTAGAGTACGAGGTGCGGCGTAGCTTGATCGAAAGCAAGTATTTATAAGTTAAAGTAGAAATGGTTATGATAAATGAGTAGAAAAAAATGTTGAGTAGTAGAGTACGAGGTGCGGCGTAGCTCGATCGATTACGTCAATAAAGCAGCAAACATTGCGAGATCAGCTAAAAAAATGCGAGGCAGAGAACTAGAGTAAGAAAAAGGGCCAGCAGGGTAGAAATAAGCAAGAACCCTTAAGAGGAATAGCCAAGAAAGAAACTAAGAAAAGTCAGAAGGTAAAAGAGAAACAGAAACGACCCCCGTACAAAACAGAAGGTAAAAGATAAATGATGTGAGAGTCGGAGTGCCAGTGAGCAAAGAAATGATCAGCGAGCAAAACAATTCGCCCCCATAGCGCCCTCTGACTGAAGAATGATGAGCAGTAGAAACAATGAGACGAGGCACAATATGAAAGAGAAATAATATGCATAAAAAACAATGAAAAAGAGTGACAGATGGAAGAGAAATTACTAACGAGGAAAACGATGATTGGGTGACATAGCTTAAAAATAACACGTAATAATTAATTTCATTGAAAACTTCAAATTATCTAAATATGAAATGTTTTTCTACATCGACACTGCTAGCTATTTACCATTCACTTAAAATTCGATAGTATTCAAAAATTAAAGTTAGCGCATATTTGTAAATTTTTCAAAATTGAATTTTTACAGGCAAAATAACCCAAAATGCAATAGTAAATCACTTAAATCCTCACTGCATCATTCAAGTAAATTAAAGCACAAATTCATACTGAACTAAACAGAGCATAAAAAGAGTGATTAGTTCACCAACAAAATAACCGCAGAACCTCATTAACATAAAATGTAAGACCTCACCAACCGAAAAACGTAAAACCTCACTACCAAAAAAACGTATAACCACATCAACAGGATAAACGTATAACCACATCAACAGGATAAACGTATAACCACATCAACAGGATAAACGTATAACCACATCAACAGGATAAATGTATAACCACATCAACAGGATAAATGTATAACCATATAAACAGGATTAACGTATAACCTCATATAATCCGATTTTATTATCTTTATCTCGTACATTCAGCCAAAACACAGCTTAGTATAGCTAACGATTTAAGGAAAATAATGCTCTTTTTGAGTTAAATAACATTGGATTTTTTTCTGATTTTAATATTTTTAACGCGTAAATTATGCCAAAAAACACACCTTAGTACAGCTGAAACTGCAAAGAACATTCATTTTGAGTAAATTGTCACGCACAAAAAGATTATCACGCACACTACACAAAAACGATCGAATTGATGATTTTTTTATTTTTGATTTTAATATTTAATGCAAGTAACCTCGTAATACAGGTACCTCATGCCCTCATAAAATATGTATAACTTCAACAGTAACAAATAATTATGACCTCGCCAACAGAAAAAAGCGACCTCACAAAGAAAAAATATAACTCAGTACTCACTGCAGTGAGTGACAGAGAGCGCATTTTCTCGTCGACGAAAACGTGAAGTCACGGACGGACAGGCAGACGGGCAAACGGACGGACGGACGGACGGACAGACGGACGGACGAACATATCGAGCACAATAGTGCATTTTTTTCATAAATGAGAAAATGCGCTAAAAACTCACCAATTAGCACTGATGGGATCATCATCCAGTATCACACGGATGATGTACAGGACGCACGTCAGCAACTTGATCAGCAAATTGAAGATGCGGATGCGAAGACCTGTAAATAAAAATATTAAATATAAAAAATTCAGTGATAAATTCACTCTCATGTACATAATTATTACAATCGAGGTATTCTTCACTGAACGTGTGACTGCTGTAGGTGTATGGGAGCGATCATGGTTATCATATGAAGTTAAATTGATCATTACGGTAACGCCAATCTAATCATGGAAAGGGAGTAAGTAGGTGAATTAATCATGAAAATCTTCTGTACTAGGCATATTTAAATATCTGTAGACAGTTTGTGTCCTCATTTTAAATTGGCATTCCATATGTTAATGGCATGCAAATTAAAATTTACGCTTTAAATCTTCTTTACGAAAAAAATTAAATATCAGAATCCTGTGAAGCTTTTACGCAAAAAGCTTTTACGCGTAAAGCTTTTACGCTTTTACAAAAAAAAAACAATCAAAAGATACAACACGAAGCAAATATTTGTGCAACTTCTCATAATAATTAACTTGCGAAGAAAAATGCAATAGAATGACAAAGTTTAACTCGGCAACTTTTATTATTGAAAAATTGGTATTACGCTAAAAATACAACCGTGGAAATACGACAATTAAAATAGGATCATGGAAATATAACCACGAAAAGACCACCATAAAAATAGCACTATGAAGATACGACCACGAACGAAAATAAGACCGTTGCAATACTACCATAGAAATCCCACTAAGGAAAGAACACCATCGAAATATCTCAATGGAAATGTCATAATAACGTTTTCGCTATTTCCAAACTATCCAAAAAGTTCAGAAAGAAATTAACATGGATAGTTAAAAATAAAAATGATTTATCACTTGAAAACTCTTAACAGGTCCATAAAAAAGATGAATAAAATGTAGAGTCGAGTAGAGTCAGTGATTAAAAACAATGCTAGAAACATCATAAAATTGTCGATAGAATTCAATTTTTTCCCTATTCAGATGGATTCTGAATGCTCATGCATGTTACAAGCCCATCCGGACCAATTTTATTTATGATTTTATTTATTTGTTACGTAAAAATTTCTCTTAAACTTGAAGTTTCCAAGTTATAAGCAACTTGAAAAAGCAACTCAAATTAGTTTTGATTATTTAATCTTAGTCGTTTCTTACGCTCATATTGAAAATAGATCATTTAAAAAAAGATTTCTTTACATCCGAGTCATTTGGCCTGTCCATCGTAAGTTAAATGTAAATACCTAGCTGCAAAATAATAACAATTTAAATTTAATTATCTGCTTGGAAAACCAGTGGTTGAGGGATAAAAAAAAATTAGAAACAATGTTTTGCAAACGACAAAACTTATAACTAAAGGTATTTTATCTAATATATTAACCAACACATTTCCAACAAGAAATGGAGCAATAATGAAACTTCAGATCATACACATCGATTTCTGGTGTCACAAACAGTTAAAACATCATGATAAACACAACACAACAATGATCTACATTCAAATACATATAATTTTTATAAATTCGTAAATTTTTACTCTTCATTTGGATATGAAAGCATTAGGAATGACATGAGCTGCAGTGCATCTAAATTTCTAAATGCGCAACGTAGTGGCATTTGCAGGTAGCGAAATAAAAATAAAAAAAAACACTTACAAAAATAAGTTTTTGATGAAGATGAAGTTTGCAACATATTTTTTAGTTTATCGGTATTTCATTATTACCAGATGAGAGCAAGATGCTTCATTGGAAATTCGAACTTTATAATCAATGGCTCAAGCTTAATCATGTTATTCCTGAAGAAAAAACAAGGTTGTTAAACCTGTGTGCATATTTTTTTAATCAAAAGCTGAACTCAAAATTTGAGCCACACTATATAGGAACGCTTTGAATTTAATGAAAAAATTCTTTTGAAAAAAAAACGCATGACTAATAGGTCACGTTAAAATATACCATAAATATATAAAATAGAACTTAGTGATATTAACCCTAGGGGTGTAAATAGAAAATTTTGAGCGTTTCTATTTCTATCATTTAACGAAGAAAAGTGAGGAAAGAAATAATTGTGCACTATCAATTCAATTTGTATGAGGGTGAAATAGTGGGAGAAAATAGCTGCGTCAAAACATGACTCTCGAGACCGATAACAAAATAAAAAACCTTATAATGTATATAATAACTTAAAATTAAATTAAAAGTTTTAACTGAAATTACAAAAATTAATCCTGAAATCAAATCCGTAATAAAATTAAGCTGGTAGTAATTCTTCTGCGTTTATAATATTGTTTAGGGTAAATTTTCTCAGCATGTCGAGCTTAAATATGATGGATTGGTTCATTATTTAATTGAAGAATGAAGAGGTATCATTTATCTGAAGCAAAAACGATGGAATATTATAATTGCTTCAATAACATTAATGATACTTATAGCTGTATCTCGTGTTTGGTAAGATAGACCATAATTCAGTACCAAAATCGGTACATAGGTTTTTTTTTTACGATAAATTCATCGCGAAATACCTGCAAAAAATGTGTGAATGCTTGTAGAAAAAATGTCTGAAGATAATTACCCCCTCAATTTTCAATCAAATTAATTGCAGCTGAGCAGCATTAGTAGTATTTTAAATAAAGAGTTCGCGTAGCAAGGAAAGAAATGAACGCAATCAACGACAAAAATAATAATAATATCTGACACGTGTCATTAGATTGCACATTTAACTATCTCGATGTCGAACAGAGAATCCTGACTGAACATAATTTTTCATTATGCATAACAATAATGAAACGAAGTTTGAATTTTCCGCCAGAGTTTGCACTTCATGAAAACCTCATCCATGCTTATATGTTTTCATCAAATATTTTGAACCTCTGCTGCATAGTTCCTCCAGAATATAAGGCAGAAGGTTGATGCTCAGAGGATAAACTGATTATCGTTAGTTAATTTTTCGCAAAAACCTAATTCAAGTTTTCGACATTGAATTAGAGCGCCTTAGAAAAAAAACGTCTCGATTCATGCGAATGTTTTTATATAATTTATGTACACAATTTTTGCTCAATAATTTTCCAAACTTTAATTACTACAATGCGCAATTTCAAGTCTACAGGATTATATTAATTACTGCACTGTGTGATTCTACTTGATTCTACATCTCTACCTAATGTATACAGAAGTGATCTGTATACATTAGGAGAATATACATGGTTGCCATTGAGCGTGTAGCAGCGATGAACGTCAAATATTACGGGTGGTGCGAAACTACTCGCTTTATTTATTTAATGGTGCTTTTGGAAAGTACAAATTAACGGTTGCTGGTTCGTCTACCACGGCATCAACATCGATAATGTGGCTGAAGTATCAAAATGCCTTCCGAGTTCAAGATGCAAAGTATTGTTTGAAAAAAAAAAACATTACAAAATTGTCCCATTGTCATTAAATACTTGCAAGAAGCTTGCTTCTTCAAATGAAAACGACGCGCTATTAAGTTCAGCCCAACGGGCTGAATACTTTTTGGGGATAAAAATCAAAGTAGATTGTTAATATAATTTTTTTGTTGAAAGGATTTTCGTATTGCAAATGAATGAGAGTTCATTTGCACCAATAAAATTTGTTCACTTAACTCAGATGAGCATTTCATGGACACTAAATATCATTGCACACCACGAACGCTACTTGTCTAAATTGCCAAGTATAAATAGCAATCCAAAGAAGTGGGCAAAACATGAATTGAAAACTCAGGCTTCATTTTGATGACATCAGCCACTAGGTTAATGCACCTAAACATTGCTTCTCTGACCTCCATAACTGCGGGGATTTTCAATCTTGGACAAAAGTCGCTCGACGCGCGGCTTTAGCCACCGTGTGATTGGATTCCCATCTCTGACCACATCCAGAGATGACACGGTGGAATAACTGTATGTACTCAAACTCCGAACTCCAGAAAGTCTGCTACAGATACTGTGATGTCGAGTGGATCCGGTCTCTGTGAATGGGGTTTCATCTTTGGAAGTTGCTTGCGCTTCGTTGAACGTTGAGCTGTTGACCTCAACGGCCTTCGTGGGTTCAGATCCAGAATTGTGTTCATCAGGATCCATACAAATTGTGAAATCTGTATGACTTACTGAGGGTGTGAAATATAAGCCACTACTTCGATTGCTCTCACAATCATAATATTTGCTCGTTCTAATACATGTGTTGAGGTTTGACTGATTTGAAGCTCGGGAATTGCTCGAATTGTTGATTTTTCTGAGAAGAATATCATTCTTGGATTGACTGCAATGTGGTTCGTCTTCAGTCAAGGGTTCGTCACACCTAATATGACTAATGGTTTCGTAAAAGTATACGCTCTTGCCACCCGAGCTTTCTTGGCTGCTGGACGAATAGTTGCTGGAACTCGACTTGGTCTTTTTGAACGTCATGAATTTTTTCTTGGTGAGCTGCTTGAACTTTTTGCAGTGCGGTTTTGTCGGACTGGACCTCACACTGTCGTCTGAGGTCACTGACTTCGTGTCGACGTTATTTATGTTGCGAAATATGACTCTGGAAATGGAGTCTGGGTTGGTGGGTTCGAAACGCGTGGGAGGTGAAGTAGCTTGCTGACTCACGTCCATGGCTCAGGCCAAATGTCATGAGTTATAAAAAAGTCTCGTGATCTAGCCCAAGATATCTGAAAAGGTCAAGACAATGAGGCAATGCTAGTTTGTCACATCCCTTACGTGCAGCGAACATAACAAAAAATTAAACATTGAAAATGGGTACGAAATCTCCTGATTAAATATTCGGTAGAACAAGAAATCAGATTATTTAATAATATGATAAATCCTACACAACCCCCATCAATATGCACACTTGGCAGACTTTTTATGAATTTGGCAGACGGTTAAAATTCCCTCATCAACTTTTAATTTTCATGAAGAGACGATATTTAAAATTAACATCAACAATATGGGACAGTAAATTTGATCGTAAGTTGTTTTGCTGACTGGTAACAAAAATTCATCGAAAGACTTGTGCTTATCCATGAGAAGTGATAAATAGTCCAGAGTTCATTTTAGTCA